CCATCTGGAAGCACCCCAAGTCCCCTTTACTGCAACTTCTCACCTGCCCTCCTCCAGCCTTTTAAATGTTTGGGAAGCTGCAGTCCATGGCATGCCTCCCTGGACCATGGCAAAGTTTTAACTGTTCTACACATTTCAAATTCAGCCATCATTAAAAGTAGGATACATTTTCTGAAATGTGCTAGAAAATTTCCAATTAGCATGAAGTAATAGTAGATGCATTTTTTTTCCTTTTGTTTTGTTAGCACATCGGATGTGACTGAGAAAGGATGAATTTGGGAACTGCTAGAATGGCACATGTTATTTGCTCTGTATCGCTTTCTGTCAATAATTCCCAGTCCTATTTAAATCCGTGGTGGTGTTGGCAAGTGATATGTTGTAAAACAGAGTTCACATCCCAGGATGAAGGTGAGATGCGGTGCACCCTTCCTGGGCTTTTGCACACCTTCCTGCAGGTGTGACACCAGGAGAACAGCCTGGAAACTTTTGCACAGTCACAAGCTGTTCTCTTTAGGTTGGGTGCCAGTGAGATAAAGCCACAGTGCTTCTGATAAAACAACATTCCTGTAAAGGAGACCAGGTTCAGAGGGTTTTTTCCCTCCTTCACAGCTTCTCTTTCTTGGTATAGATATAATAGGTGAAGCAAATGGCAGCAAACTGGCGTCACTGATGTTCATGTGCAAAATTCTGGGTCATAATTACCACTTAGAAGTGTGTATACCCAACTTAGCATCACTGAGAGAGTTCTGACCTATTTACATGGCAGACTAATACAGAACAGCTTTTCCTGGGCTGTACGATTCAGAGAACAATGGGGAGGGGGGAATTCTGTGGCTTTGCAATGGGGCACTAAACCGTGAGAATGAGTAGTAGGTTTTGAACCTTTCCCCCCGAAATGCCATTTTTCTATGGGCAAGGATATTTTTAATGGACAAAAGGCTTCAATGTGTGATTCAGCAGGATCTGAGCTAGCAATTATTGGTCAAGAAAAGGGATCTGGGGTTGTCATGGACAACTTGATGAAAATATCAATCCAGTGTGCATCTGCTGTGAAAAAGGTAAATGCCACGTTAGGCAAAATTAGAACAGAATTTCCTAAAATCCTAATTACAAGCTGCCATGATTGTACATCCCTTATACTGTACGTATATGTGGTGCAACCACACTTAGAACAGTGTGTATCATTCAGGCCTCCCTTACCTGAAAAAGGACATTATCGAGTTGGAACAATTGCAGAGAAGAGCAACTAAAATGACTGGGGGTGGGGAAGCAACTCCCCTGCTGTAAGGAGCAGCTACAGCAGCTGGGGCTGTTCTGCTTAGAAAAAGGTTGCGTAAGGGAAGACATGGCAGAAGTGTTTAAAGTAATGCAAGGTGTGGAGAAATGGAAGGAGAGATTCTTCTCCCTCTCTCATAACACTTGGATGTGGGATCATTCCATTTAGTGGGTTGGAAGGAGATTTAGGACAGGGAAGTGGAAGGACTCAGAGGGTTCTAGGGAGGATACAATAGAGAGAATGACGATCACGTTAGCAATCTTGAGTCCTTTGCAAGAGGAAAAAGGTGGGATTTAAATAAAATCGAATAAAATGTCCAGTCCTGGCTTGGCTTTTCTTTGAATCTAGTCCTTACTCAGCCATGACTGGGTGACTCTGGGCAACTCACTGACTCTCACCCTTCTCTGCCTCACAGCATTGATTCAAGGATAAAATGGAGGGGAGGATTGTATACACTACCGTAGGACAGGAAAAAGGTGGGATATAAATAGAATACATAGGATGGGTGGGTGGGTGGCGAGAGGGGGTCCACAGGGATGCCTTGTCTGGAGGCCATCAAAAACCTGTACTCACCACTCCACACACACACACACAAATGACGCAGGGTAAGTTTGCTACCTCTCTTGCTTGGCCATGGAAGCCCCATGCCATTCTTCTCTGGAGGAAGCCAGGTTATGAGTCCAGCTTCTTCTCTCAGGGAACCAAAGGAGCACAGGAAGCCTTGGAGATGCTGGAGATCAATCCTTCTGCATTCAACACATGTGCTCTTCCCATTGAGCCATGGCTTTTCCCCAAGTTGGCTTCCCTTCCCACATGTCTTTCCTTCCCACCAATACCCTCTTGGCACTGTGTTTATGCAGATCCCAGCTTCCATTCTACCCTGACCATTCTTGGATTGGCTTGTCCTTCTTTTCTCCCCCAGTCAACTTTGCCACCCATTATTGCTGGTATAATCATTGTGTAAAGTGAGGATGAAGCGAGGACAGAAGTGCTTCTAGGTGAGAGAAAAGATGGTGAGATGGATCAAAGAGGTTTAACAAGGGATCTGATCCAGTTTCGATACACTACAGAAAGAGGTGGGGATGGAAAACCGAGGTGGGTCAATGCTGACACAAGCTGGGCTGTTGGATAGCCCCAGGAATTACAGTTTGGGGAACATGACTGTGGTAAGCGTGGGGAAGAAAGTAATCTAGTTACCCAATTAATTTCAGCATCCTAAGAATGGCATCTTTGATGTTTGTAAACCCCCAAACTTGGAGGCTCATGGTAACCCAGGGCAGAGTGAGAGGAAAGGCAGAAGTGATTTCTGCCTCCCCATGGCTCCTGGTTTGCATCCTCACTAGAGAGTTGTTTTCAGTCAACTGGCTTTGGAATGGGAAAGAAGGAAGCTGCAAAAGAATACATCATATTTTGGCTTTGGCAGTCTCCCCTCCCCCTGCCCCCCAAAATGCTCCTTTGCCCCTCTCCAAAGTCATCCTCAGAGAGGCAGCCACACTGGTTCTTTCTGCCCCAGAGGCAAAAAGGGGAAGCAAATGGAGCACAGATTCCAACTCTGAGGTTGGCGTTCCATTTCCAGCCTTGAATCTGAGAGGCCAAAGTATCATGGCCACCCTCCCAAACAATGTCTAGAAGACATAGGATCAGTCTCTTGTCTATCTAATTTCACATTTTCCAAACAATACACACTGAAATTCAGCTATCCTTCCAAATTCATGTGACTCTGAATGTCGTGATGGACTTCTCCAATTAAAAATGTACAAAAATGTGTACATTAACAGAAAGGGCATGCAAAAGTTGCATATTAAGGAAAATACCATTAAAATGCATTACATTTGGAGGTTTGTTTGCAGAACAATACATGTGCTGGGCAACATTGCACATAAATGTCATGTGGACATTTTTAAAAGATCTTAAAGATAGATCAATCGAGTATTGGAAAAATAGAAATGAAGAGAAACCTAAATTGTCAAATTCCTCTTGGGTTGTTGCTTGAGCACTTGGAATCTTTCTCAGAGGTGGGAGAGGTCACTGTATAGAGCTGGATTTCTAGTCCATGTTGGTTTCACATGTATTTAATCATGTTTCTGCTGATTCCACATTAATCTGCAGAATAAAACACCCCCCATGCATTTATTTTTACATGCAATTTCTCCTAAAATATGCATTATTGTAAGCATCATTCCCTAGAATCCACACTATTTCGTTCGATTGATCTAACAACTGCATGACAAGATTTGGAAAAGAAAGATAATTGTCATGTCATCCACTTTCTAGTTTTGAAAAATATGCTTAAATTGGTGCACTTCAGAATTCAAGCTAGACAAAATTCTCCCTCATTCCTGACCATGTGACTGAAACCTCTTGGAAAGGGACTTGTGGAGCAGGGTAGTTTCCTGGTGTTTCCTTTGTTTAGCCATACACTCCAGCAACAGCGCTTCTTGCCGCAAGCTGTGTTGTTATTTCCAGTAATGATGCCCCTTGACTCTGGCAGCCTTGACTGAGTTCACCAGTTGCATTAGTTCTCATCCTGGCTCTGATCCAATCAATGCAAACTATCTGTCATAGAAACACACACACAACAGAAACAAGAAACATCCCATCATACTTTGGTACCTAAGTTGTTTATTTGGCCATTCTAGGTACAAGTGCCGCATTATCATGCTCTCTCTGTAAATTAATTTGTTGCTGGGTTATTCTATCAATCAAACTTTGGGGAAAGCTCAGTTCGACTGCAGTCCCCTTTGCACTCAGTAGGATGCATTTGGAAGTAAAAATGCACAAGATAAGGTTCATTCAATCATTTATAAAACACATTTTTCCTGTCCATAGGTAGAAAGGCTGATGGCAAATGCTTTCTTGATCACTTTATTCCTTGATTTAGTGAATGCTGTTATTTTAATTAATCTTAACCATGCATTAACAGTTTTAACTATAGAAAAACCAACAACAAAATGAGAAACAAAAGCTCTACTTAAGCACTTCAGATGGAGTTATTGTTTCAATATACTATCTGTGTGGGCTATAAAATTAGTTGACTTTTCAATGAACCATTTTCAACATCCTAGAAAGTCACCCTTGAAAACAACAAAATAGCCCAGTAGAATCTGGAATCAAGATATGCACTTGACCCTCTTTACATTTACTTTCAGTTTTCCTGCCCTGATTTTGTGATTATGAAAAAAGGTACATCTTGTTGCTTATTCAGTAAGTCAGCATAAAATTGATTTAGTTTTGAGAATTTGTAAGTTTTCTGAGGATGATAAAACCAAAAACATGCCTCAGCCACTAGTCCCCACTTTTATTCTGGGGAATGATGGGAAATGACACTAGACAGAGAAGGAATTTTTTTAAAAAATCCCTGATTTACCTTTTTTTCCTCCAGATCTGCAGAACACTTAGTGAGGCGATGTGAGTCTAGCACAAACAATAACAGCCCAGCTGAGAGTGGTGTTGGTTCCTCCAAAGTCTGCCTCAGAAATGAGTCCCACGGCTCCTTGCAAAGTAATTGGTCTAATTAGGTGGAAGGAAGGAGCGCCTTTAAATTCCTCAGAAATTAAGTCGTGTGTCATCCACTTAACATCTGAACATCTGTTCCTGCCTCTCGCCTAGCTCCCCACTGCACAGGTCCGAAGGACACGTTGCTGAGGCTTTGGGGGCATCATTCGCCCCCCCGCTACCACCAGAACCACAAACCTAGGAAGAAACGGACCCTCACTTTGGTGAGATGAAGCAAGCATGGCACTTCCCCCCATCCTTATTCCTCAATTTGATGCATGTCTGTCTGGGTAAGTACAGAAAACGACTCAGCTACTTCAGGAAGAGCGGATAGCTGCCTTTGTTTAAGCTTTGCTCTTATCCTTGATAATGTGGCCTTGCAACTGTTTCTTGTTAACAATGCAAATATTACTAGTCCCCCCGATCTCATTTTCTCTCCTCTTGATTGCAATGTTTGCAGATTCAACTGGGCTGTATGTGGTATTTTAAAAAATCTTGATTTGTGATTAGAATGATGACTAATTTCTTTTCTTTATTTTCTTTGAACTTTGCTGTTCTCTTGTAGCAAGTAAGTAATTATTTCCTTTCGGCTTCTTGGTAGGCATCCCTGAAAATCAGAGCATTTTAAAATATAGTTTAGATTTCTTAGGGATTGCCTGGAGGTCAAAGAGGCTCATGAAAACATGCAGTAGTTTATGGTTAGGGAACCTTTTGCGAAGGTTAATTCAACAAGCAGGATACTTTGGAATGTACAGTGGGATCTTGCTTAATTCCTTTCCAGTGCATTATATGTGTGTTTATGTAATGCTCTGTTAACTCCTTCATTCCCATTGGCATTTTGAGTAACATAGTACTGGATCTCTTAAAGATGCCTTTAAACTTTCTCAAAGCTGGATGCAATCCATTAGTGTAATTGGATATGTTATGAACTTGGATTATTCCCATGGGGGTTGATCTTTGCTTTGTATTCAGTAGTAGGCCATTAATTCACTTGCAGTTTACAGAAGGATTCTCTCTGGGTTCTGTTTTCTTTGTTGGTTCGCAGTTCAGGCAAATTATGCACCCTATTTCTTTGACAACGGCGCCAGCAGCACTAACGGGAACATGGCTCTCCTTAGCCTTTCAGAAGACACCGCTGTGGGTCAGTATTACATTATGCTTGCTTGTCTATTTAAAAAGATGCTGACATTTGCTACTTTTCCTATGACGGGGTAGGTGAACATGCAATGTTGAATGTGGAGGTGAACCCAATTCTTCTTCAATGTTCCTTTTGCCTCATTTACATCTCCGTAAGGGAGAAGTGTGCATTTTTAATAGTGTACCAATTTTCCCTACAAGATTTGTGAATTGGAGGGATTTGCACAAATACGAGCATGCATGCACACACACATGCACACTTATTTGTACAATGGGACAAGGGCACATTTCCAGAAGTGTGCATGAGTGCAAATGCACACTTTTGAACATGAATAAAAGTTTGAGAAAATGGTCCACATATTCCTGGTCATGTTCACATCAGTATTGTGAATGGGACATGTTTCCGATTTCCAAGCAGGAACTAAATTCTCATATAGGTGAAGTTGTACATAATTAAAAACGAAAAGGAAACCTCAAATGTATTTGTAGAGGCTGGTGCCTCAAATGTCATCCTGGCTTTGCAAATGATACAGTTTTGTTTTATGACCTAAATTTACAAGTTTTGTATAATAATGATTTAGAAGTGGTGTAACTGTGCACAACAAATGGTGCCATCCATTCAGTTCAGTGGGAACTGAATGCGCATTGCAATGCAAGTTTCAGTAAGTATTTGTATCTTCATTGTGTATATCAGCTTGTTTCTGAATCTTCCCTACCTAAATGAGCCATCCATCCATCCATACATCCTATCTCATACGTATAAAACATATACAGTATTTCATATAATGCAACAGTATCTATATTGAAAGTCAAGAGTCCCAGATACTCAAAGGTTACAACCAAGAACAGGACAGCATTCAGTTCAAATTTCATTTAAAATTAATACAGATGCAATTAATGTGCACTTTTGAACTAGTTAGTAAATCTCAACTCAGTAACCTTCAAACTTTGAACTTTTTCCAAATTTTGCAATGGAATTCTCCAGTCAAAAATATGATTTTCTGGCATCAATTGGACAGGAAAAAAGAATTGTCTTAGGAAAACTGTGTGCAAATGTGTGTATATTATGCCAATTGCAGGTACTAAGAAAAATAGTCACAAATGAATTGTCATGTGAACATTTTTCCAAAAATCCTCACTGTTTCGGGTCAGTCGGAGTTAAATCTGGAAAAATAAGAAATCAAAATCAACAGGTTTGTCCATCCTTAGATACACCCAACTCTTTTTCTTAACCAAACACTGCCAGCTTTGCAAAAGATCTGTGATTAATTTCTGAAAAGTGCCCCTCGCCATTTAGCCCCAGAGTCCTGTGCTTTCACGCACATATCTAGCCTGCTCCAAATGATATTGGTCCTTAGTTCCTCATTCCCTACTTGTGCGAAAACTCAACAGAAATCTCACTTAGTCAACTGAATAAGGGCCTAATGGGCCAGGGGTGATATCTACCGAACTAAGCTTAGAGCTGTTTCATATCATATCTGTGAGACAGTCTGATTTTTCCCTTGGAGACAAGCAACAATCCCTCATTTTTATGCAAGCCCATTATTGCTTGATGACCCTCTCTGCACCCCAAATCAAGCTTTGCACCGAGAAGTGAAAACGAGTAAGCAATGGCAGCAGCATCTGCTGCAATCCAGTCATCAGTCCCACTGATGAAACCAACCACCAGTTTCCCCTTCCAAGTCTAAATATTCCCCAGCAGCCCTGAAGGGCTGCTATCTAAGCAGCTTTCCCACATGCTCTTGACTGCTCTTCAAACTCCTTTGTTGAGTAGAAGCACCTCTGCCTTGCTAAAGAGCACCAGCTTCCTTACCTGGGAGGCAATTGAATTCATTACTGCATACAAATGGGTAATAACAGGCTCCTGAAAGCATTTGCTGGTTCTATGGTTTGAGGCGCCAAATTTGCCACTGGAAATTCTGCCTGCGGTTGTGACTGAAGGGTGGTGGCTCATCCGCACATGCAAGCCAGGTGGACAAACTATGAGATCTGGGTCAGATCTGAGGGATCCAAAGTAGGGCAGAGGCAGAAGGACCCCACCCACCCAACTTGCCAGCTTTGTGGACTACAGAATAGGGCTTCTCTTTCATTGATGCTAAGCGGGAAGGGTACAAAGACTGCCCAAGGGTTCACTCTTCCCATGGATTCAGAAATCACCTCTCTGCATTTCCTAGGCAGCTGAAGAATCTCCCTCTTAGCTTGTTCTGCATCTTGCTATAAGTGCACCGCAATAAAAGTACTGTAAAAGCCGGGGAGAGTATCCAGACTGCTAGCAGAACACAAGGATGAGTATCCCACCCCATCTCGGTACCAAAGTGAGCACGAGGAGCATTCCCAGGGATGAGGGAGCATTCCCAGGATGCCATCACTGCCAAGAAACAACCCTGTGTTCACAGCAGGAGGGTAGGTGGTGTGACCATCCTTGCCCAGCCAATCAGCCCCTGAAGATCAGCTCCACAGCAGTATAATGCCACCCTGCTCATGCTGTGATCCTTGATTGGCTGGGATCAGACAGTGAGAACAGGAATGCAAAATAGCGTGAAGGGTGAGCAGGGATGTGGATCAACTCAGTTGTGAGCAGCTGGAGAAAAATGGTAGAATGGCTATCTTGGGGGTGTTGTCGCCTCACAAGCCCCCTCTGCTCTGCTCCACACTTTCTGTGGGCAATACATGGATTGATCCCTGGCAAAGTCTAAATGGAGACAGCCTGCATCTGAGGATGTCGTCCCACAGTTTAGCACATCTCCTCTTATAGCTGTGGCTATTAGTAGCTGTGACCTGCTGAAGGGAACGTTCTTCCTTTTCAGCACCACCAGTTTATAAATCTCTTAAAAGCAGTGATTGAAAAAGAGTAATAAAAGACTGTTTTATTTTGGGAGGAGAGCTAGTACATAATGTCTCTATATTAGGGGGATGTTTCCTCTTAGAATGATGGCTCTTAAACACAGTAATTCCCCAACACTCGATTCCTAAGGATAGTGATTGTGCTTTATTTCCTTTGGGATTATTATCAGAGATACGTTTCTCTCTTACACCTCTCTCACTCGATATATATATTCAGTCGGTCAGCTCCTAGAAGGAAGAGTAGGAGCAATTCCTGCAACTGTGGGGCAATCCAGTTAATGTCAGTTGGGTTCTTGGCATCCTTCTCTCCTTTGATGCCCTATGCATGGCCCATCAAATTTGTGGCTTTCTTGGGAGGGAGTGAAATTTAGGGCACCAAATCCCCATGGAGGGAGAAGTGCTTGCCCGAGAAAACGCTGGCTTGTGGCCACAATATTCTCTCACAGAACAATGCTACATAATGATCTATTTACTGATTTAAAAACAAATAAATATTCTGCCTTTCCTCTTGAGAATGACTGCACTGCAGACCAGTGTCTTTTAAAGGCAAAGGTGGCCTAGGAAGGCTCTTGGGAGCAGAGGGGTGACGGTGGGGAGACCTTCGCTCTCCGAGCCTTGGATGTAGCATTGCTCTGTAGAGGAATTGTGGGGAGAAAATGAACAGCTCTTACTTCAGGCAGTGGGAGCAAATAAAGGTGGTGGCTGTGGGAATGTGAACAGAGGTATGGATTTTTGGCCCTCTCCAGCTCCTTCTTCCATCAAGGCACACCAAAGTTTGGCCAAAGCATCTTATCAGAGATACTTTGCATCAGTTCTACATTGCAGGTCTTGGGAATGTTCCTGGTTTGGAGGAATGGTGGTGATGCTTCTGTGGTTGTACCCATGCCTGCCAGTTGTACGTCAGGCTGGGTCAGAGAATCCAACTGTATATTCTGGAGTGCTACCACCACTGCATGCAAGACAGCAAAGGCCAATTCTGAATGGGATCTTCCATTCTGGTGACAAGGCAGATGGCAAAGGCAGGCATGGCTGGGCACCTGCCAGGGATCCATGGACCAGCAGGGGGCCACTGGCAAATAACCCCTGGAATTGCTTCTCCTATTTACTGTTGCAACCTGCTTCTTCCCTGCCTCTCACTCTGTCCTAGATAATGGTGGAAGTGAGGAAAAGGTGTAGCAGATGCCTACCTGCTCACTCCTTCTTTGCCTGTTGAGCAAGGAAGTAGAGACCATGATGAGAAAGAGGAGCAATGGCAGCTGGTGACAATGGTGGTGAAAAGTTGGCTTATTGAGGGATGCAGTCCATGGAGGAAGTGTTGCTCAAGGCCCTCCAAAACTTAGGACTGGCACTGCTGGTTGGCACAGAGCACAGATGCATTGAAGCACCACATAATCCAGCCGTCTAGCATTCACAGATGTCTTTTGACATTCAGCCCAGTCTTGGAAACTGAACTGAGTTGAGAGAAGGTGCATGAGCCCTGGCAAAACGAGGGCTGCACAGCTGTTAGTCTTCTTCCGCATCAGGTGCAGCAGCACAAGCAAAGGCTGTTGCACGTGGCAGGGAAGAGGGATGCTGCTTACACAGGGTGTGGGGCACATTTCCCAACACTAGGCACATCTGCCAGGAACTTGGACTTGGGGACTCCACAGAGTAGACCAGAATCCAGGAACCACACCCAGGAAATCCAATGGATTCCCAGCCCCGAAGCAGATTCCTCACACGTCCCAAGCATAGAGTGGAGGACACCTTGAGGACCTTCTCCTGGAAAAACACCCTTGGATTCTCTCTCCAAAATGCAAAGGACATTGCACATCAAAGAAGGAAGTTTTCTCAAAAGAACTCTGTTGAAACACAAACATGCCTCTAACTTCAAATGCCAGGTACTGCTGTAGTGAAGGACTACAGCAGTGAAGGACAGGTAGTCTGTGCTGGTGTAGAAAAGTTTCCTGCTTCAACCAGCATCTCCATATCAACACATCTCCTAAATCTTTGGGATACAGTGAGATCAATTTGAACACATTTGTGCTCTGGGTTAACCCTTTTCATGAAAGCAGACGGCATGCTGGTTACAAGCAAGATTCTCCCACGTATATTATCTGCCTTAAACAGCAGCATAAAATGTAGAGAGATAATTGACAATCTGAGCAAGATGTCTGTTAGGAGCTCCATGGACTGCCTTAAGAGCAACTCTTATCCCAATGCTGTGTTCCTGTGGAATGCCCCCTTCTGATGATGCAACTTCCCCCTGGAATCACATCTGATTTGGTTCATAAGCAAGTCACTCTCTCTAAATCTCAGACCCTTATCTGCAAAAATAGAATAGAATAGAATAATAAGAATGCACACAAAATGCTTTGAAGGCCCTAAAAGAAGGATGAGAGATCTCCCTTTCCCACATGTCATGAGCTGATCCCTTTCCTCTTTGCCTTCTTTGTATAAAACCTTTGAGGCGCAATTTTTAAATGAAAATTTAACTGGTTACAGAAACCATACAAACTCCAAATAACCGTTTACTACAGTGATGGCAGAAACATCTGCCCATGTGAAGAGTTGAACCCAAACTGAAACTTTCCCTCTGTCCCTCCCCTTCAGTAAAGCTTCTGGCGCCACCCTCAGACTGTGGTTTTTGCTGTGTGAGGGCTGGACAAAGGCAATGCCAGAGACCCTCTAACTGGGCAGTTCATTTCTCCTGCCACCAACTGATCAGGTCAAGAAATTCTTTCGGCTTCAGAGGAATCTGCTCCTCTTCCACCCAGAATCCACCCTACCCCGCACCCGCACACACACCTTTCCAAGGCAGGCAGATTCTCATCCTCTGCCTGAAAAACTTCACTAGGTAACCTTGAATTAGTCAACTCCCCTTGCTCTTCTGCCTCCTTCTCCTCAGAGAAGGCTAATCTATCTGAGCAGCCTGTAATGGGTGAGAGATGAACCCCCTCCTGACATGACCCCAACTTTGGTTCTCATCCACTCTTCCTGCCCCAGATGCAGACCAAAGGCCCAGTTGGTTCGCACTGTGCTGAAGACTCGCATCAACATTTTCCTTCCTCGTGGATCTTGGGTCCTGTCACTCCTACTTGCCCATGGCATGACTTACTCACAATAATACACAGAAGGGCATGGTCTGGGGATATATGGAGTCAAGTAGGGAGTCCCTGGGGTCAAGACGAGCCCTTTCATCCCTGCTGTACTGCTTGCTGTTCCTTCCATTCTGCCCTTTATTTCTGGCCTTTTCTTAGGCCTTTCCCACCCAAGTTTTACTGCTGTCAATGCATTCATGGTATTTCAAATATGCAGGTGGATTTATGTCTGGGTTGCATAATTACACAATCACTTATGGACAGTGGCTGGGCGAAGATATTTATGAGCTCTGCTCCCTTTGCTTCTCTTTGCTTGTGCTCAGGAAGATAAGACTTTGTTTTAACTCACCTCTTTTCAGCAAGAGGAGGAGGAAATGCCAAGGATAGATTCTTTTAATTGGTGTTAATTTTGTGCCAGGAAGTGTTCCCAGGGTGCTAATGATATGGAGAGTTTGTGCTGAGAAGGGTGTAAAAATTATCAGCGAGACACCAAAACCCAATCTAGAAAAGAAGCCATAAAGCCCCGCAGTTTTAATGCTCTATTAGCATTCCAACATTCTCACAACCAGTGAAGTTGATATTCAGGCTATCTGCTTGCCAGAAAGGATCCAAGAAAGATCAGTAGATTTCATAGTTGCATGCCTGGATTATGTCTGTTTTGACATGAGGATTACTATTTCACCTTGTTCTTAGCCATTAGTCTCATTGCATAGCTAAAGAGTCCTTTGAATGCACTAATAGTAAAATATTTATATTTCCATTCAAGAGTTGGATGTAATTTGCAAATAAACTGCCAGAGTCTCTATTTTAGATATAATAACCTTTCTCACAAGGAGGTAAATAGTTTAACTGGAAGACAATGTGATTCTGCAGTGGGTCATATAATGTAAACAGACTCTTTCCTGATTGTTCCGTAAAAGCTGAGATTGAGACACAACCGTGTACCTATCATGGGAAATCCTGTAAAATCTGTGAGGTTTGTAAAGGGAGCTGACAGGGCTGGCTGTTGTCTCCTGTGTCAGTGTGGCCCCTTATCTATTTCAGCTTTTATTCTGAGCTTTGTAGATGCTATCCAAAGTGCTGAACCATTACATCCCCAAAATGGATTCACCACCATGAAGCACCATTAATAGTTCTTAGAAAGTGCAGAATAAAGGTTAGAGAAGAATAGTTCCACTCACAGAGCCACAGTTCCCAGTCTTCTGGCTTGAAGGAATGGCTATCAAATCTACCAATTTTACACAGACTTTTTTGGTGTGTGTGTGTGTTATGATCAGAGTGATCAAAGTACACACAGATAGGATTGTGCTATAAATCTGTGGTATATATTCTTTGGGTTGATGGGCCAATTTTGGGTTGAATTTGGGGTTTTTTTACTGCCTAGAATAAGGAAACAGATCCTGAGAAATAAACTAGGAGTGAGGACTCCCTGAATTATCTATGAGGGAATGGGATTTATCTCTTCCCCCACAACCATCAGTATCAATGGCTTTGTCAGTTCTTATACTGGCAGCAGACAGATCTTACAGTGGTCAAATTGGGGGTAGTCACAAAGCCACCCCTTGAATAACCCCCAGGGTATGGTTTTTGGCACCTACTGCCCACACATACCATTCTCAGCATTTTCCCACCCCCAGGGAAAGCATTTCTATCCCAAAAGTCCCATTAGAACCTTCAGCAGCAGAGAAAAAGCCTTCTCTGATAAGTGGGTTTGAGCAAAGCAATCATCCACACCCTTCCATTTTTTCTCCAAAAGAAGCCCTGGAATAAACTCCAAGTTAATATGAGAAGAACACTTGGAAGCCCAGCCATCTAGCTCTGTATTTCCTTGACGCATGTGTAGGATTGTAGGGGGTTCTGGAAGGGTTCCTTGAAAGGGTGCTGCATGAGATCCCCCTTTGCATGTTACCTGCAAGTTTGAGGAAAAGAAAGACAAGCGATTTAGGCACCCTTGTTCAGTACTTTCCTGTCATCAACACATGCAATGTTTTTTCACTATCTGGGAAATATGCTTTTCATGCTGCTGACTTCCATTGAGTTGGACAAAACACGGAATTATTTACCCATTTAAAATATTTATATCCCATTCAATACCAAGGGCCTGTTGTATTGTCTGAACCCAATCAGGGTACTTCACCATGGTATATTTGGTCTTTAGAAACCATGATAAGAAACAGTAGTTTCTTCATACCCCTATGGCTTGTCATGTTGTTTGAACCCATAGTCCTGGATTTCCATAGTGTTGGCATACAACTAGGAAAGATCAGCAACTGTAGGAGTTGCTTCAGCCATCCAGCTTCTTTGTGTGGATCAATGAGGTAGACACAAGAAACATATGTTGTTTAGTCGCAAAGTCGTGCCCGACCCACCACGACCCCGTGGACAACATTCCTGCAGGCTCTGCTGTCCTCCACCATGCCTTGGAGTCCACCCAAGCTCAGACCCACTGCCCCAGTGACTCCATCCAGCCACCTCATCCTCTGCCGTCCCCTCCTCCTTTTGCCGTCAATCGTTCCCAGCATCAGGCTCTTCTCCAGTGAGCAAGAAATATATGCAGGAAATAACACACCTTGAGCCTGAATCTCAGGCGTAGTGGCTGATAGGATACATGTCAACCACAGGAGAACTGAGTAGGGAGGACGGAAGTCATGGTAACTTGGAACTCACGTGATTATCTGTCAGACAGATCATGGTCAAAGAACATGTACTATGATAACCATGCATATTGTGTGAAGGCAGCCAATGGATCAGCTGATTTCGGACCAATCAAAAGAATTTTAACTAGGAATGAATAAACCAACCTATTACTGATCCATGTCGATTTTTGTCCAATTTCTGTGTAATTTTTTTGCTCCATTTAATCTAATTTCCATAACTGTCTCTGATTTAAAGTGTGGTGAGAAGCCTGAACAAAAGCTCCTATTTCTTTTCATGCTCATCTTGTATGCAACATTCTCTAGCATGCACACTTTGTATGCAAATTCCTCCAAATTTGCATGTATTAACACATTTTTAAGCCAAGGACTGCATCATGAAATCTGAAAGAACTGTGCTCTGATCCTCATATTACTCCAGGAAAGTAATATGGGCTGAAAATTTTTGGACTGAAAATTGTGCACCAGACATGCCCTCCCTACATCTGTACCAATTCACATGCAAACAAACGTACTTGCGTCATTATTGATTAATAATGTTCATAGACTACCTTTATGCAAACATTTCCAGAGGCCTATTGCCATGTTAGCTCAGGGAAATAACAGCCTATTTCCCCATGCTTAGCTCCCACCCTGATCCTGTGACTTGAAATGTCTGGGGCCAGCCCCAGTGAAGCCCGTCACATTTTATGCTCTGATGATTGTCGTGCCCTTGGATCTGCAGGAACAATGCTGTGAATCAACGGCCACATACAAATCCTTGTTGGCCAGTTCTGACCAGTCCAGCAGGGCTGAGTTGGAATGGCTTGGCTTTTCAGCCTGACTGATCCTAATTTTTCCTCCTCCCTTGAGAGCGTGAGTGGCCTAGGTGAGTTCTTTTCTGGGAATTAGAATGGCTTTGGATCTGGCAGAGTAGGGAGTGGTAGGAAGGCTCATGATCGTTTTTGGAATATTTTGGAATTTTTAATGCAATAGAATTGCATCTGCTGTTAACATAGTCCTATGAGAAGTGAAGCAACCTCAAGTGAGAAGATGTCCACATCTCTCTCTTTCAGGGACACATGTTTACACACTAAATGGAACCGATCCTGAAGGGGATCCAGTAACCTATGGCTTGGCCTTCGAAGCTGGGTCAAAACACTACTTTGTTGTTGATGAAAACTATGGAAATGTTACACTAACCGAGGAGCTCGACCGAGAGGTACAGTGCAACAAAGTAGGACCTGCTTGTGCCTCAGGACAGTTTCAGGATGGCTTTCATGTGAAGGCTGACTAAGGACTGCTCGATTTGGGTAGCGATCTCCTGTCTGGGTGATGCTACTTCAAACTTCAAGGCAGTACTCACGTGATTGAATGATCTTCCATATGTACATGAAGATCAAAGTTTCTCTCTTGTGCAGGGATTATTATTATTTCTTTGTATGAAGGAACACCCAGTCATGTCATTTCCCCCAAGCTGTAGACTGGATACAGCCATTGCGTGGGTTTTACTGCCTCCATTCAGTGAAGCTTCTTGCTATTCCTATAAGTCACAAAATTGCTGGCTATTGGTGACGAGCCATTATATTGAACCAAAAGAGTCCATGGCAATACATACACTGTAAGAGACTGCAGCTATGAGAAGCAATCATTTCTGGTTTTAGTAATTGCTTGGTTTATTTTTATTTATTTAATTTCATTTTTAAAATATTTAATTTATTTTTAGCTTTATTTGAATGATTGGATTATATGGGTTTATTGCAAGCTGCCAAACATTTATACAGAATAGTTTGGATTTAACATTCCACATGAATAAACATACTCAGAGTAAACTTTGTGTAACCATAATCATGTGCATACAAAATAAATCCAGCAGCAGATGTTCTGAACAACCAAAGTGCAGCCCTGTTTATGTTTATTCAAGGATGACTACTGAACTGAAGGAGGCTTACGCCCAGGTAAGTGAGCACAGTTGGTCTTCCCATATTCTCTTACCTGGGAGTAAATCTATTTGCATTCAAAAGGGCTTACTTTTGAGCAGACATCCCCAGGATTGTGCTGTTAATTTAGTTTCTGAAAAAAGTGATCTTCAAACAGAATTACCTGATATTTTTATTGCTGCCCAAGACTATATTCAGAGCAAAGCTAGCAAAAGTTTCAGAAATGTGTTACTGTATGTTTTCAGGTTAAAAAGAGTGTTAGATCCCAACAGCATGGCTACAAATAATTCTTTTATTTTCCCTTTTTTAGAGAGAAGATGAGATTGAAGTAATAGTCAGCATTTCTGATGGCTTAAGCACAGTAGGTATTTCAACAGGAAAGAGATATTTCAGTTTTCTACACAAGGCATTTATCATGCACTTGTCATTCCCCACTCATGGTTGTTAAGAGACTCTTCAGGCAATATTATGGTCCTCCAGCCTTCCTTCTGTGTCTGAAGAGCACTTTTGGTGATATTTTTAGATGTGGGAAAATGTGGCATTTAACTAAAAAGAGAAAGAAGGCTTTTCTTTCACTTGTGTACTTACTCTGTTCCAGCTCACCACAGTGCCACCTTGAGGTTATGTAGTAGAAAAGCAGGAAATGAAATGCTCTTGTGTAATGCTTGGATCTCATTTCTGTGATGAAACCAAAGTTGAAATGGCTGGTCAACAGCCTTATGTAGAAAAGCTTTTTGTTCTCACTGCCAACATATGATGTGATGAAAATGATAACCACAGTTCTCACTGCTGCCTACTTATTTGAAAATGACAAATTTTGTGATATGACAATGTCAGGTCTTAGGAAAACCATGTTCCTGAATATGAACCCTGAGTTCTTCCCTGCCCTCCACACCTGCTCCACCCAGAGGTCTCTGCAATTCAGTCACTTGTTCATCCACTTAGACATGAGAATGGTGAAGAATTCAAGATCTATCTTCCTTCCTTCCTTCCTTCCTTCCTTCCTTCCTTCCTTCCTTTCTTTCGCCACACTTAAGGTGATCATGCACAAAGTATGACAAAGTCCCTCAACATTTCATGTTTGTTTGAACATGACTAGGTGTTGAACTTGGGAATTTCTGCAAGTAAAGCCTTTCCTCCATTTATTTGTGGTTTGAAAATACACCTTCAAAAATTAGAGAATGTATCAGTTATAGGTGTTTTCCCATCTATTTCACTTTCTCTAATCAGGGTATTAATATGGACCCAAAGGCACTTTCAGACAAATGACTGGCTTTACCACCCAACTACTTCATTCTCCAAACTATTTTCCATTTTCATGGTCCTCAAAATTATTGCCATTAGGCTATGGTGCAACCAATAGGGTCCAAGCAGGGAAGCATGCAAATGATCACTCCAAGGTTTAACTCATTTTACCTAACTAAATATTAATTATGTTTAACTTCAGGTGGCTGAAAAGGTCAGAATCCTTGTAACCGATGCGAATGACGAGAGCCCAGAATTTATCAACACGCCTTACATAGTGCAAGTCCTGGAGGTTGGTGAAGCTTCTACAGGCTCTTCATTAACTGTGAATAGAGGGCAGATTGGCCTTATTGGGCTAGTACAGGATTTGCTGTGAGTTTCTAATAGGGCAGCCAGGTCCACTCCATTTGGTTGATCAAATGGCTGAACCACCCATTGAAATCGCTGAATTTCCAACAAAAGTTTGCCTCCATCTCAAAGTTCTAGGAAAAGGAGATGGCCCATTCCCCAAAGGCAGCCCCAAGGACTTTGGAAGAAGCTCCTCAGTCTTGTGGGATAGTCCCTCTTTCTCTGGTTATGCCTCTTTAGGCATGGGCCTTCAGGCCATGGCAACCCCTCAAATATCTTAACATCTCTCCAAGTTGGCACAGAAATCTGCCCCCCAAATTTGGGTGCATTATGCCACAGAACTCAACAGTTTTTCTTTGATTTGTCTCTTGCCTCAGGGTAGAACAGGGAGAAAGGTGTCTGGCAGCAGATCCAATAAGTAAAGAGGAATCATTGCAGGTTTTTCACCAGCAGATCGAGCCCACCTTCTCAATTTTCATGACAGTATGCCTTTTGAAAACAAAACTGTTGCTTACCAACGAACAAGCAATTGAAAAAAGCCTAGCTGCAAAACTGGGTTGGGGGTTGGAAGGCAGCATTTGGGTGAAGTTCGGCATTATAACGGACACCAGCCAATCAGCCACAGCTGTCTGCAGTCAGCTTCTCCTGGGAATTGGCAAAAACGTTTTCCAGAGCTCCAAATAAAAAGTTAGTATTGATCACTGCAAGAGCAAATCTTTATCCCTATAGAGTCTGGCAAATGTTTTATGTCTTTATCTATATTTGTCTTGGGACCCATGCCAAGCATTAGATTTGCCCTTCCATAATCAGTTCGAAGCACATATAGCTAACATCTGTGTGTAGTCTCAGTCATTCTGTGTCTCTTATGTTAATCATTTTAGGGCCGTGGCTAAAAATCTTTTCTTACCATTTCCATCTCTCACTCTTCTGCCCATTCTTTTTTCAGTCTAAACCATTACTTTTCCATTGTGATATCTGCATCTCTTTCCTTTTCTTTCTCATGCTTTTCTTGCTACCTTCCTCATCCATCTCTGGATCCACATTGCCAGTGCCATTGTTCCTTCCCATCCCTGATTCCAGTCTCTTTTTGGATTAACAGAGCACACCCTCAGGAAGCAGCATCTTCAAAATTGAAGCAGTCGACAGAGACACGGGCTCAGGGGGGAGTATTACCTACTTTCTACAGGTAAGCATTGACAGAAGGACCCAGGGATCTCAGGTATGAGTCAGAGGGTGGATTCATAGGACAGAAAGCCGGTTAAGATCTACCCAGTGATGCCTGCAGTTTGTGGGAATGTCTTTTGACCATGCAGTTTAGCTGAAGATCATTAGAACTTCCATAATGGTCTAAGAATGGAATGGAATCATATAGTTGGAAGGGCCCTGGAATGCTATCCAGCCCAACCCTCTGGCTCACTGCAGGGCTCAGGTCTCCCATCCAAATACTAACCAGGCCAGACCATGCTTAGCTTCCAAGACTAAGCAGGATCAGGCACTTCAGGCTACATGGAAGCCATGAGTAAGATAGAGTATGACCTAAGCCAGGTAAAGCATGAGCTAAAAGACACACTGTTCTGAAATGATGCTAGTGACCTACCAGTTATACAGTTGGATTAGCCCAAAGTGCACATTAGTTCTGTGCAGCTATGGCTCAGTTCCTAATCTAGAGAATCTAAGCATGATATGTCTACCCCATTGTGAGAGCCTTATGAGGATGAGTAAGGAGCCATCATTCTATGGTTTGCGCTGCCAGGATAAGTGTTGTTTATCATTATGGATGTTCACTAGGCATTGCATAATTGAATTCTCTAGATGCTCTACAAATGGATTAAGCACGCAGTCCTAACTCTCCCACTCAAGGGGCACACAAACTTCCAAGCTTCCAGCAGCTTCCAGTGGCTGGAATGAAACACCGCAGTGATGCTCACTGCCACCATTGCGTTGCACTGCATGCCCTGCTTTTAGCTAGGTGGCTGCTCTTTTTGTCTAGACAAAGCCCTGGGCATGGACACAGGAGGAGGCTGGGGCACTGATAGGAACCCACAGAGGAAGGAGACCCCAGCCTCCTCCCCTCCGCAGCCACCTGCACACGCCTTTTCTCCCTCTCCAAGGTGCACTGGGGCACTCAGAGAGGCAGCCCGTCTGGCTCTTTCTGTGAGAGGGCAGAGCAGGGGCCCAGGCTTTGGAGTCCAAGCAGCAGGACCTCGGTGCTGAGACTCCAAAGAATTCTTTGGCACCCCAGACAGTGTCGGCAGGCCACAGGATCACACCTATAAAATTTGTTAATAATACAGTAGAAGGGAGGGAGGAGGAGAAGGGAGGGGAGCAAACAATGTGTTGGCTAAAACCCAAAAACAGAGATGAAATGCAAGAAAAATGATATGACCAATCACCACCAGCCAACACAATAGTTAAAATCTCCATCCAGGGTCCCAAGATTAAAATAATGAGTTTCCCCACCTGCAGCCCTCAAGATGTTTTGGACTTCAGCTCCCATCAGCCTTATCCAGCACAGATAATGGTGAGGAATTCTGGGAGCTCTAGTCCTACATAGCTGGAGGGTACCATAAGAATAGAAAGTCCTTAGCCTGGTACTACAATGCCCATGCCAACTGGGCTTCCCTGGGAAATATAGTGCCATGATCATCCTGGCTTTGCTTCCTATAGTGTAAGGAGCCATGTTGTCAGTGGAAGACAGATGCATTCTGGGAAGGAAGGAAGCCAGCCTCACATTACAATACTTTTTCTACTTTAAAGATGAATCCGCACTTGTGCTCCCCTCTCATTTTAGCTTTTGCACTGATCGCATGGAGGATTTTAAAATATAATGGAGATGTTTAAGTGCACTTGCTGTAAATACATCAGTTGCTTGCCAGATATACCCAAGTTATGATTTATGAATACCAACCTGTCCTTATGTAGCAGCAATGAATGAACTATGCACAAAGAGGGCCAATATTTGAGTGGGAGAGGTTTAAGTCCTTCTAATAGATGCCTTTCCTTAGAAAGATAAAACGTCAGTGCCAAGGAAGACGCCTGTTACCTGAATGAATAGAGCTTGCCTGCTGTCTCTCTCTTTCTCTCTCTCCTCTTTTCTCTGCACACATGCACACACACACACATCACAGCTGTGTAATTTTGATTTCCACCCAACAAGAGGGAAAAGGATCCATGTAAACCAATTTATTCTGGTGTTTCCTTAGACCCCAGAGAGCTCACTAATCAAGTAGCTACTTTTGAAAGCACAAATATTTAAGGAAGGTTAATCTAATCTTCTTAAAAGGGGGAAAATGCTGAACGGAGAGAAACCTGAAACCAAGAACTGTAAACAGCCAAGAAAGACAGAAAGGCAATCACCCTTATTTACTAAAAAGAAACTCCAGCCCTTCTTTCTTAAGGCAATCTCTTGCCAAGCTGATTCAGACATTCAGGGTACAAAATACAGTTTACCCATGAACTTGCACCACACACAGGAAATTGCAAGTCTAAAGGATCCATTTAATGCTTTAGGGAAGCTCCTGAATTCTTTTTACTTTGGCCAACTTTCATTTGGATGAGTCTATATAATTATAATTATTATTAGTAGTAGTAGTAGTAGTTTTGCTGATTGCATTTGGTAAGCTGCTTTGGGGTGCCATTTATGGCTGAAAAAAGAATGTAAATATTCTTTTTTTCAAGCAAGGTACAATCCTAAGCTTATTTAGACAGAAAAAAGTCCTACAACTCCAGCAGTTTAAACCAATCAAATAAATCCATGCCATGTCAAAAACTCCTGATAGGAAAGAGAACCAATCAGGTTCAGAGGTTCTCTTACTGCCTTCCCCATGAAAAGAGATGCTCTGTCGGTGCTGGGCTTAAATTCTACTTTGCATGGGGTCCAATCCACACTTAAACTTGCTCTAGATCTGCTAATGCTGGAGAAAGGCACAGGAGACCATTTTGCCAGTCCCTTCTTATTGTAGCTTCTGGTGACCCCTGAAAATCTGCTCTGGAAGAGTGGGAGAACCTTCAAAAAGGCATGAAGGGCAGCATGCAGGGGGACTGCAGGGAGTTCATGAAAATGATTTCCTCCATCCTTCCTTATCCAGCGGAGCACATTTGCTGGATCTTACTCTATTCCATGAATGAAAGAACCACTTCTACTTTCAGAATGGACAATCTGGATCCAACCCACCATTTTGGAGATGGCCAGGCATTAAAATACAACATGATCTGCCATGCCAGTTCCATTCTCTTCCCTTCCTAGACCGTACTGCCTTTTGTTCGAATAGTGAATGTAGTGGGAAATCAATGGGTTGAGCAAGGGAGCCCTTGTGAATTGCAGGGAGATGTGTAGCTATAAAAATATACAGCAGATGGAACATGTGAAAAATAACGTCTAGCCTGCTTCCTAAAGCCATACATAATCTTAATTTACCTCTCTCTCTCTCTTTCTCTCTCTCTATCTCTGTGTCTTATTTCTTTCTTTCTTTTCTTCTTTCCAGAATATCCATACAAACAAGTTTACTATAGATCGTCACAGCGGAGTCCTTCGCATCAAAACAGGGATCACTCTTGACTATGAAAAATCAAGAACTTATTTTGTTACTGTGGTGGCAAAGGTAGTACATATTCCCCTGACTACTTTCCACAGCTAAACGAAAAAATGTACAAAGGCAAGATGGGGCATAGTTGCAGAAGCTGGAAATGGTGTACGACCTAACAAGCCCAGAAAAGCTTGTGGCGTTGAATCTTTCCTCACTCCTGGATCTACAGTACTTCTGCCAGTCTATCAAAATAATTCTCAAGATATTTTGTAGTGCTTTCTCCTGGGGTTTAGAGTGGAGAACTTGACTTGCATATCCTTCAGTGTTTTGTTGTTTTGTTTTGTTGCATTGTGTTGCATTTCTATACTACCCATTAGCTAAAGAAGCTCTCTAGAGAGGTTACAAGACAAATGAAAGACATCAAATACAATCACATAGTGAAATAAAATGTAAAACTATAAGCTTAAAACAGAATAAAACCAATTGAGTAACTAATATGAAAGTCAGCAGCAGTGCAAAGATCTAAGAACACACTAAAATGATTGTTTAAAAATGAAAGGCTTAAAAAGTTTGGAGAAATGAAAAGGCCTTCACCTAGCATCAAGAATACCTCAATGGAGATGCCAGGTGACCATTCCATCTCCATTATGGCCACACTGAAAAGGGTATCTCTTTAGTAGCCATTTATCTCACCTCATTCAGCAGGGCGCTTGAGGAAGAACCCTTGCGGATGATCTTGACTTCCAGCAGGTACACGTGCTGGTAAAACTGTTTGTGGCAGCCCAACATAATTAGCTTTTCTCTAATAGCATACCTGATGTTTTTTGTAAGGTGTGTTAATGCTTGTGTACATCTTGAAACAAGTGGTGATGATATGCATTCTCTAAAGCAAGGCTAAACAGAGGACAGTTCTCCAGCTATTTTGCACCACAGCTCTCAAAATTCCTGGTCATTTTCCATGTGGCAGGAACTTCAGGAGCTGAAGTCCCAAACTCTTAGAGAGATGCCTACCTCTGCACTAGGGCACAGGTGGCCAACTTCAGTCCATGTGTGAATGTATCAAGCTGCAGATACTGAGCCAGACCAAATGGTCCATTTAGCCCAGGATGCTTACTCTGACTGGAAGAACTCTTCAAGTTCTCCAACAGAGAACTTTCCCTGCTTCAGACCCTTTTAACTGGAGTTGCCATGGATTAAATTGGGAACCAATTTCTGTGCGCTCTACCAGCAAGCTATGGGCCTTGCCTGGAGGGCCCCTGCATTTAGCCACACAGCTTGTCCCCTTCGTGGCACCAGGGTGGCTTCCTCCTGAAGTTTGTCAGTCTCCAAGGTCAAGGAGTTATAGACCTTGCCATATGATTGTGCCCTTAAACTTGTTAGGACATTTAATTGTGTGCTTAAATAACAAAGAAAACCAAAATATGAATGCTGACACTTGATAATCTCAGTGGATGTCCAGATCATTGACATCCACATGAGGGACAATATTAACTCCAGGTGAACATCTACTAGAAGAAGAAGAAGGCAAATGCCACTTCAACATGCTAGCTCAGGGAAAGGGAGGGAAGTGAGGACCACTTGTCCAGACAGCTCTGAGAAGCAGACTAAGGTAGACTGACCCAGCAGGCGTAGATTGTCCCATGTTCAAGAGACAGCACCAGAGGATGCCTTTTGGGTGGTTTCTATGGAAACTGAGACAGTCTGTTTACTGGCTTGGGCATGTATGCCTGATGATGGAGAGCTCTTCAGAAGTAGGCATCAGAAACAATAATAAGACTAAGTCTGTGGTTCAGGATGGGAATTTTAGTTTTCTTTGCCAGACAGATATCCCCTGTTGCTATCTGTCCTAGTGCATGCATAATGTTTGCTAATGTGTAGCTTCTAATAACGTTAAACAATTGGAAAATTCTAAACTCCAATGAAAGATGAATAATATTGTGGGAAGGTTTTGGGCGCTCTTCACTGGAAAGATGAAACTTAAAAAGTCTGATGTGGGGAAAGAGAATGGGGAAAGGCTGACTTGATCTGGAAGTTTTCATGGACAGAATCTCAGGAAGGAGCAGGCGTAAACAAATAAGTCTCAATTGTTCCTCCTGCTAGCTCTGTGATTGGGATTGGTTTCCAATCATAGGTGCAATATATAGGAAGAGAATAAAAATAAAAAGAAACATGGCAGATTTTTGCCAGTAAAACTAGATATTAATTTTGAAAGTGCATTAAGCTAAAAAAATCAACAGAAGGCTAATTGAGTAGTGTTCCCTAATGATTATAAAGAAGACAGCCCTCAAAGCATAAAATCCCATCTTGAGGTGATACATACTTAATTTCCTCCACTTACAGAATCTTGATTATGAACAGTTAAATTAGACGTTGCTCAAGTTACTCATAAAACATAATAAACCAGGTTGCTCCAGAACAAAGCTGGATCCACTGGTGTAGATATCTACCTTGGTCATGAGTGGCAAAATTGGGGAAACTGAAATTGGCCAATATACTTGGGAGGGGAGCTGAAATTCTCCAACAGAGGGAGTTCAAAAAGAAAATGCAAACACAATTTCTCAGCTTGTGCTTCCTGAGGAATTTTGGCCCAGCTCAGTTTCTGCATGCTGATCTTGGAACTGTTTTTGCATCCTAGGATGGTGGCGGCAAGCTTCGTGGGAACAACAAGGTGTTTTCAGCCACTACTACAGTCACTATCAACGTGGAAGATGTTCAGGACACATCCCCAATGTTTGTTGGAACTCCTTACTATGGTTATGTCTACGAGGACACTTTGGCTGTGAGTACTGCAGGGTCACATAAACCTATTCAACGCATGCATGGTATTGTTCTCTCTGGGTTTAAAGACGCACAATGAAGTTGCCAATTTCTAAGGAAGGACAGATGTGCTATATCTTGTTCTGTATTTTTCACTGCCAAGTCAATTCTATGCCAGTTTTATAAGGATTTGGGGGGTGGGGGGGGGGTAGGGCAGAAAGCAACACAAATTAATGTTGACTTTTTGGCATGATTTTAAAAAGTGCATTTTTCCAATTGTACACAATTTTTCTATGCACTCAACCAATTAAAGCATCCTCATCTTTTCTCCATGAACATGAGATGCCATGCATAAGGGACGGCATATAAAAGTTTTAAATAAATAAATAATGGAACATTTTTCAGAAGTATGCATTTTATTAGGCGCATTCTGTTGGGCTTACGGGAAATGTAGCAAGTCCAGAAAATGTATGGATTTTTAGACACAAAATGTTTCTGCTTAACTCTGGTTTCCGAGGGTTGTGGACTGCAAAAATCCATTTAAAAAATATTTGTTAAATCAGATTCCTCACATGTTCCTACCAATTTTCTGTTTCTGAGAATGGCTTCCTTGAATGGAATACTATCCTGGGGGGAATCTCCTGCCTTTTGGAGGGGTCACTCTTCAGAGTGTCAGAAGTTTCTGCTAAAAGAAGAGACTGAAACATGCTATGCCTCTACTTGTGGATCTTTTCTTGCTGCTCACAATGAATCAGGCCAAGTTAATTAACACAGGATTATGCTTTGCTGCATTGACATTAAGTTCTCCAAGTATTTTAGAAGCATGATTGGTTGTACATCAGAGACAGAGAGGAGACAGGAAAGGAAGAGGTGACTCCTGAAAAATACAGGGAACAGGAGAAATATTACTCAAAAAGCGCTTTTCCCTCCCCAATGAACAAATGGTATTCAGCTAGGAGATGGGGTCATAGCAGCATGAGTATTAAATGCACCTATTCTCCAAGGCACTTTATTCTCCCAGTTGGAAAGGCAAGCCAACCTGCCTGATATTCTAATCCAACTGCACAATGCCATCTATCCATCAGCAGGCTTTAAACTTGGCAGAGATCTGAGTTCAACCTGGAGCAACATGTAAGATTTGCTTAATCCTGATTGAGGCTGTAAGACTACAACTGGATGCAGAATTATCCAGAGCTTGAGCCAATCATGCTTTAGCTCTGTGGTTCCAGAGTTTGCTTTTCCGCCCATGTTTACCGAGCCTTTCTCAGCCTGTGTCCTGTTTTGTAGTTACTGCAATACGACTGTTCCCATATTTCACGGCATATATTGCTGTAGCCCGTCCAGCCTCAGAGGACTGCAGAGAATGATTTCTGGAAACATTGGAGGCGTTTTTCATGCACTTTATAATTCTTGGCAGTAAAAGGTGCTATAAAAATGTGAAACATAACAATTTACCTTGTGCTGTTATTAACCAGTGATCTGGAAATACTCATAATTATTAAGTGTGCAGTTGTTGTTTTGATGAAACCCACCAAGGAAATCAAGGATAATTAAGCATTAATTACATCAACTCTGAGTTCCATAACCAAAAATATTATCATATTATAGTGATGGAAAATGCACGTCTTTCCTAGTTTACTCATTTCAGAAAACACTGCACAGTAAAATGCACATTCCAGGTTTAGTATTATTGATCAATGCAGATGTTGTCTATTAAAACTTGCAAATGGAAGTTGCTTTTTTCAGACCCAACAATGCTTACTGTTTGTTTGTTCCATCTATTTCTTGGGCATGGAACTGGATTTGTTGTTATCATGATTTTCAAATCTTTGTAAATCTTCTTCAATGATAATTGCCAAAAGATTTCTCAATCCTTGGGCTTTTAAGCATGCCTCCCACCTATGGTGGAAACTGCAAATTAGATGGCCAATGCTGCATATATTTGAGGGCACCATCTCTGGTGTCCACTCAACAAGCCCTGGCAGAAGAGGCCAGAGACTCCTCATCCACTGAGCTTTTACAGGAGCTGTCCATGGTACTGAACACCATTCCCAAAATAGGTTCTTCACCATGGTGGCCTGTGGCTTCCTTGATCCCTTGTAATCCTAATTTGTTCCTTTCTTTGGCTTTGGCATTTCCCTCACTGTCAAAGCTGAGTTGGCAAGTTCCTCAAAAGCGCCCCACTGCTCCCTCGCTTTTATTCTTGGCTCTGCAAAGTCTCACATACTTTGATGGCTCCATATACACAACAGCACTCCCAAAGAGGAAGCGTCTGCTGCCAAAAGGGAAGTGCAAACACTTTCAGGAACTTCAAACTGGGTTGAACCTTCTTCTCCTCAAAGATCCCCATCCATCTTTTTTCTCAGTCACTCGAAAGCAATTAAATGTTCCCATTAGTCAGGAAATAGAAATGTTGGGGGCCATTGCTACCTGTGTCCCTGCTATTTCTGTGATAGCCTTGTTCTAATGGCATAATTGTTTCATGGAACTATTTATGTCTGGCTCTGGGGTGTAATTTTGAAGGTTGCTCTCTCCATGTCATTTTTAGTGTTCCCTCTAATTAATATCCCCACCAGCACTCATTGGCCAAGATGCTCCTCACTCCCTTCACCACTGGGGTCTGAGTTCCTTGTCTTGTTTGCATCTAATTTAGCTTGGCCTTGTCCTTTGCTCTAACAGAATATAAGCTGATATACTTATTTGCAGAAGTACCTCTTACTACTGTATGTGCAGTGCCACTGACCCTCATGATGGGCTAGGAATTTGTGTTTGCTGGATTGTGCATAGGTTATATTGAGGGACAACTGCTTGGAAGGAGTTGAAACAAAATGTGGATGGAGTCAGAGTCAGTAGGCAGAGCTGCCCCACAATCTCTGTTCCTGCCATCCCTTTTCTCTTCTCTGCCTGCATGTCTTGGCTCTTCTCTCTTCCCCCTCCTTTCTCCCTTCCTGCGTCCCAACTGCCACCCAGTCTCCAAAATCCTCCCTGCACAGGAATCCATCTTAGAAAAGCCTCCTATTGACACCAATGCCTTTTCCCCTCAAGCCAATGTGAGATGGCCATGGGGCTGAAGAAAGCAATCTGCAAGCCAAATCCAACCCTCAAGTTGCCAGCTCCTTAACCCGGTTATACAGTATTCATGATTTAACCTGACAAAGGGTTGATGGCCCAGCCACTTATTCATGGCAGGAGACAAAAAGGGGAGGTTAACAACCCACATTCATCATGGTTTCATAGTAGGACCCAAGTCACATCTGGACAGAGAAAAAGGATGATTGGGCCTCCAGAATCTAGGAAAACAATACTTGGCAATCCTATCAAAAAGTAGTGGCATTAGCATCTTGCAACCGAAAGATGAAATAAAATTCTTGGAACAAATTTTACCTTTTTCTTCCCACTGGTATGGAACCCCATTTTGTGCCCTATTCTCTGGTGATATATTTGCTAGTTGCTACATTAGGTTTGCTAGGATTAATTTTCTGAAGTGGTTTTAGCTCAATGTGCTCCCTGTACAGAGAAGTCACTTCCCTTTTTTTCCAGGGTTCTGAGGTAATAACAGTTGTTGCCATTGATGGAGACCGAGGGAAGCCTAACGACATTCACTACCACCTTGTGAATGGTAAGTGAACGGGGTTCACCTGAACCTTAAAGAAATAGTCAGAAGTTGAATTCACAGGCAGTTTGGTGATGGTATAACAGATCTATGGGATGTGATCCGGTATGAACTTGAAATTTCACATTGTTTTGGCCTGCTATCTAGCTTATCCATGTTCAGTGTGGGATAGCCAAGGTGAGCCACGAGTGCTAGTTAGTTTGAGTGTGACATAACAACATGAGAAAAACCATGCTGAGTCACTTCAATGGTCCATCTCTAGTCCAGCATTCCCTTTGCACCATGGAATAACAACTGCCCATGGGGTCCTTCAAGCAGGACAACATGCAACAGTTTCCTTGCCAATGAATGCAACAGTTTCCTTGCCAAGCTCCCAGCATCTGGTGTCCGTAGGTGTACTGCTCTTGATACTGCAGGTAACATACAACCTTCAGGGTTGATAGTTATGGATAGCCCTCTCCTCCAGGAATGTGCCCAGTCCCCTTATAAAGCCATCCAAATTGGTGGCCATCACTTTCCCCAGAGAAAATGAATTCATAGTTTCTTGATTTGCTGTGTAAAGAAATCCTTCCTTTTTTTCCTTCCAGAATCTCCCACCTATCAGCTTCATGGGATGACCTTGGGTTCTAGAGATATGGGAGAAGGAGAGAAATGTCTCCTTCTCCACTTTCTCCACACCCTGAATCATTTTTGAACAACTCTATCATATCTCTGCTTACTGTTTTTCTATGAATGGACATTATCGCCATTCATCATAGAAGGGTTGCATCAGTGCTTTGATCATTTTAGTTTCCTGTTGCCTGGATCAGCAGGATTGCCTGCTTGTGTCTTCCATTCAGTGCTGCATAGTTGGCTATGCAGATCGACATGACTGAATCCATGCCATTGAGCTAGGTTATCAAGTGGCTCAAAAGCCGAGACGTGAAGTGATGGAGCCTGGTGGTGGAGGAACAAAGGCTAGTAGGCAGAACTCATGTTAAGGGTAGGAATGTCTGGGCAACCTTACTGATGGTCCAAAACTCAACAGAGGCCCTACTGACAAGAGTGTCCTGGAGTTGCTTCTCCTCTTCCCCATTGCAACCTGTGTCCTCTTCTGCCCTTACCTTTGCCCCCAACAGTAATGCTGGTGAGGAGAAGCCATTGCCTGCTTGCTCACTGATTCTCTGTCTGTCAAGCAAGTAATTGGTAGAAATGATGATGGGAAAGAGGAGCTGAAGCAGCTGGAGGCAGTGGTGGCAAGAAGCTAGACTTACTGAGAGAGGGTCCCCTGGAGGGTGCCTTGCCCAAGGACCCCCAAAAGATGGAGCCACAGCTGGTGTGAGGGAGAAGATGACCTATGACCAGACAAGAGAAGAAGCTCAAAGTGGAGCCCAGTGGACAGTGGACATTATGAGGGCAAGGCGAAGAAGTATGTGGAGCAATGGGCAGAAGTCTTCAAGCCGTGAAGAAATAGCCTGAAGGCATTGTACCTCTTGCTGAAGGCTATTCGTTCCTTTATGTAAGCAGGATTCCAGTCTCCTAAGCCCCCCTGGCCCTGTGTGAACTTAGAATTCTGTGGGAAATCATGCTGCTCCAAGTAAGGACTCTTGCCCTTGGAAGTGCAGCCCAACCTCTTGCAGCATTCAGAATCCCACAGCCTGAAATAATTCTGGAGAAGGTGCCCTGGGAAGCCCCAGTCCTGAGCGTCTCCATGCTGTTCTTCCACCCTCCCTGATTGAGGGCAGCAGGAAGCCCCTGCACTTTCGTTTCACAACAAAAGAAGTGGCTGCTTTGAATGGCAATTTTCTCCCTGTGGTGCCAGAACCGGGCAGAGGGAACACTGCAGTTCAAAGCAGCCTAAAACAGCAAGATGAAGGGGGTGGGGGTGGCACTGTAAAAAGAGCAAGCAAACCAGCAGAAACAGTCTGACCAACAGCCAGCGAATCCATTAGGGAGAAAGAGGAAAAACTCCTTCTCTGCTCATGCAGTTTTGTCTGCTGGCACGGATGGAATACAGCAGTTTGATAGAAAAGGAAGTGTTGACGCCCCTCAACGTGTGGAAATCCATTATCGGTCCACCTTTTGCTCACAGCAAAAAAAGCAGTGATTCTGTAGCTCAAGGAGCACTCTCAGGCTGAAAGGCAACAAGACAGCAGCTGAACCAAGCTTCCACATGTTCCACTCCTGTAAAATGTTAGAACAGGGGCAAAAATAAAAACTGGCACACAGATGAGAGGAACTGGAGCTTACTGCTTTCCAAGGTTTCCCTCCTCCCTACCCCCCGTCAGGTGTTTTTCCAACCCTATTAAGATGTACTTCAGCTACTGGAGCCCAACTATTGGGGAAGGGAGGGCTACACTGCAAGCAGGAGGGCTCAGCTTCTTTCATCTGTATCCCCTTTGCTCTTACATCCCACTCTGTATTGGACTGGGCAGTCCCAGTTTCAGCCAGTGGATTATCTACTGCCCTGTGCAATTTGGCCTTTAGAAGCTTCCTAACATAGCAAGCAAAGCCCTCCCTGCCCTGAGTTATGCCTCCTGCATCATCCCACCATAGTTAATCAATTTTTTGTCCCATTGAATTCAGTGAAAGAGATTTAAATCCATACTTCACTCTTTCCTTGGATCAGTGGTGTTGAAATGAAAAGCTTCATCTCATGTCCTATATCCTTTTTCTAAATGGATTTCTGCATCATATTAGATATATTTATCATTTCATCGATGGTGCTAAAAATGAGCATCATGATGATGGTACTTTTTAGCCTCAATATAGAACTTTCTCTGCTTATGGCTGGAGATGTGTTAGGAATTTGGTTGGGAGGTGGGAATCCATTGGATGTCTTCTGCTCAACTCCCTGGGCCCTGGCCCACTTTCTTCCCTAAATCTGTCTTTTGCTGAGTGTTTGCATAGGTGTCCAGCAGGAATCAAGTTCAAGAGTTCTCCTTGCACACACCTAGTAGGCTTTGCCTATATTGTGCAAGGGATTGTGTACTTTGCAATACTTTGCATGAAGAATCTGCCAAGTGCTCCTGAGCATTTGTGGACTTGAGTGCAGCTCAACTCACTTTCTGGCCAGTGAGCACAAGAGAGCTGGATTCTGACCTGCCCTTCACATCTCTGCTCATGACATTGCAGATCATTGCAAGATATGCTAGAGAGATTTCCTTCCCCCAAACACAAGTTTAAAAAGTGAGCCTAGCACTTTTTCTCCCTTGAGATTTTTGTACTGTTATATGGGGTGTTTCATGTGGTGATATAGAAAGGTGTCTTTCTAAACATTATTGTTAAAATGAATTTTATATTTTAAGCACAGGCTAAACCTTCAGAAAGAGCTTTGTTATAGGAAAAAAGCATGCAATGGGCCGTGTTCTGAATTACCAATTTCCACATGACAATTAGGCAATATCATGATGCATGGAGACTTGCAACTTCTATTGATTTCATTTCCATTGTAGTCAAGATTTACTTTTCTCACCTATGAATCTTGATAATAGCCCTCCACATAAGTCAATATGTGTTCAATGTGGAGTCTAATGTCTTCTAATGAAGTTCCACTTATTGCAGTTATTAGCAAAATTGAACATTATTGGACAGTTTTAAAAAAAATGAGTATTGCTATCAAATTAGAGAGAGGAAAATGGAGAGCGCATAATAATGATGCTGTTTTCTTGCACTGCCTTTCATATGTTTCTAGCTTCAAGCAAGACTTGCATCAAGCTCCAAAGCTCATTTCAACATGGTGCATGGGGACTTTTTCTGAAGCACAGACACCCTTGTTACACTGGGCTGTTTGTGTGTGCATTTAATAGGCCAGATGACATGTGTGTAGCCTAGATAGATAATGCGTGATCGCGTGGGCAGAGAAGAGAGCACTCAGCCTTCTCTCTTGGGTGGCAACACCCTTAAATGAGGCGCTGAAGGAATGTGTAACCCGAGTGTGAAGGACATTGGGCCACACCTTGGCTGAGATGACTAAGAGAGAGAAGCCCTGAGACTACTCCAACTTTGCTAATTTGCTTGCATAATGGTAGAGAAGGAAGTCAGCATGTTTTTATATCATTCTGTGAAGAACTCCCTGCAAAACAATCACCTTCAGTGATGCTAAGCTAAAACGTCTAGCAAACAGAATGAAAATCCATCGATGGAAATTTGTGCTGTGATTTTCTAAAGTTAGTAGGTCAAATCATTGTTATGCAAAGAATGGGACTGCTATTGTTAGGCAGATTTTCTGGATTTGTATTGCCTCAGGAAGAATTAAAACATCAATTATCTTTGCTTGCTGATAGCTGACAGACATTCTGAGGATGATTTCAGTCCTTGAAAGAAAATTCCATTTGGGGGGAAAAAGAGACTTTTAGGGTTTTGCATTATATACTTTCAGGTTGTAACCTTCTCCTGGGGTTGTTAGGCACCCCAGAAGCAAGCCCTGTTGGGATTTTTTCTGAGAGGGGATAATGATACCCAGGATTAGCCTATAACCTATAGTATCTGGGATCAGACTTCATATAGCAGCCCCTGATCAGCCCAAATGGGGGCAAAAAACACCCAACCCCCCCCCAACATAACATTGCAAATTGTAGGTTATTGACTCACAATTTGTCTAAGTGCTATGCAAACTGGGTCATTAAACCAGAATGCAGCAGATAACCTTTTACTTCCATTTTATTCCAGTGTGGCATTTATGTCAGTGGCGGTTTAGGTCAATCCGCAGGCTGGCATGTGGTTTTACAGTGCATGACCTTCCAAGCTCACATAGACTTGGATGTGCAGCCAACACAGCTCAGAGGAGGATGCATTAGTGTACAGGCATGCTTTATGCCAGCACATGGGTTCACATTAGCAACAACATCAAGTCAGGTGATTTCCCCCCTCCCTTTGCATTTTCCAATGCATCACGGATGGACCAATACCTTACCTGTACTGGGCCATTACTCTAATGTACACATTGCCTATTGGCATACGTTGCTGGTTTTCACCTATAAAGCCCTGAATGGCTTGGGACCAGGATATCTGAATGAGTGCCATTTCTCTTACATGCCCTCACACCCCTTAAGATCACAGGAGATGCTCTGCTCCGGGAGCCCTCTTCAAAGGAGGTAAAAAGAGCAGGGCCTTTTCTGTGGTGGTGCCCAGATTATGGAATGTGCTCCCTGGAGAGGTGCACCTGGTGCCTAGTTTATATTCTTTTTGGCACCAGGTTAAAACCTTTTTATTTAATTGTTATTTTAAAAATCAATATTTTATCGTTAACCATTGCTTCCTTGTTTTTTGTTTTTGTAAAATTTTATGGATTTTGCTATTGTTTATTGTTTTTAATTGTACATTGTGAGCCATTCCGAGATACTGAGGCATGTGGTGACAGCATATGAAAGTTATAAAATAAATAAATAAATAAATAAATAAATGTATGTTATCAATGCATAAGTGGAAGTCTAGTTTCATGGGCTAATTAGGTGTGTAGAAGAGATAGGAACTATAGCTGTAGTTTTAATCGATGCCCTGCCTTTAGCATTCCATATGATACAATTGGAGTTTCGTGCAACAGATTAATACCTCCAAACTTTTCTTCACCATCTGCCTTTTCGGCTTGCCTTGGATGGGAAGAAATTGTGCTCCATTAGAAAATTGTAACCATTCTTCTCATTCTTAGCTGAATATTATTCTCATTGTAGAAAAAATAACCAATGCTTATATGCCACTTGGCCAACAGTCCACTAAGCTGCACCAATCTGGTGGACATTGCTAGACTAGGTGAGTTCCAAGCCATGCAACCCACCCCAGTTACTTATTGGAATGATACTATTGTGGTTATCAAGAAATGAAGAAGATGAAGTTGCATATTCACACCTGCAAATATCTCAATATCTGATGGCTTGTTGTTGGGTTTCTGTGAGGGTTCCTCCCTGCAGTGACGGTGTGCAGGAAAAGGAATCTGTAAAAATGGAGCTTCTCACCTATCTGAGAACTGTGAGAGACTCCCACCATTGGTGGAAAAAATTACTCATCTGCTAATTGCAACAGACATTTTCTTTTTTGCTTTGTCTTCTGCTTCACACGTTAATGGAATTTGACATTCAAAAGGTGGGAGCTAAGGATCAGGAAGGCCAGTTAGGGTGGGAAGGGACAGACCCCCAACCCCTGCCCCCTTGTTCCCGACCACATATTATTAATCTTCAGCAACATCCATTTATCTGACTGATGCTACTCTCTCAGGGCCTGGTCTGTTCCCCAAGTAGAGAAGCTCCTTGCACATCAAAGGATCAGTACACAAATGAACATGAGTCACTTGTACTAGAAGAGAAGAATGGCTGGATCTGGAAAGGGCAGGTCTACCCAGACCTCCCATTGCCAATAATGGCACAACATGCTATAGAGCAGACTCACCAAAGAAACAAAGGTGTATCTTTTCTAGGGAGCCCTTTGTAATGTGGAGGACTCTACCCATATAGGGATGGTTCAACCTGGGTTGTCAAAAGAATCACCCATTCAATGCACTTATGTAGTGCAAATGTAGACCAATGGTTCATATCAGCAGAGGGAGTGTTTTAAAAACATGTGGCCGGTGTTTATAATACTGCTAATGCTAAATCCAAGAGACACAGAAAGAGAATACTCACTATAAAAGTGCTTAAAATACACTGCTTTGCAGAAGCTTTGAATAGGTTGAAGGCTTTTGGGTTATGGTCAGTTATTCGCTCTCCATGGTGCTGAGCTCTCTTCCACTCACACGACCTTGGTAGTGTTTCCAGCAAAACATAAACAAGGGAGATTTTAGTACCTGTCTCTGTAAACAGAAAAGATAAAATGGATCCATTCCCATTTTGACCCAATGTGCTGGTGCCTGGCTGAGCCATGCTTCACTGAAGTCTCCCTGATTCAGTAAGTCTGCTCTAGCTTTACCCAGCCTATCAGTTCTGAGGAGAGAACAGATTGCATTGCTTTCATGGCCAGACTCTGTGTCCAGGTGAAGTTCACCTGGGCTGCAAGGTATATGTTCATCCTTGTTGGAGGGCCATATATCAGGAGTTTTAATCGTGGGTTTCTTAGACTGGTTGGGTGACTTGACCTCAATTTTATGGTGTTATGATCACTGGGAAGGCATTTTCAGTCCACTGAGCACCCCTTTAATGTGTCCATATCTTCCCACCCACCTCCTAAACCATTTGTTACCATGAACAATTAGTTATGCCTGAATACTACTGTAGCTGTAGAGAGATGGAAGAGATGATGATGTATGGAAGATATGATGGTGTGTGTCTCTATTTTGTCACAGGAAGTGAAGGGTCATTTGAAATAAATAATGTGACAGGAGCCATTTCTGTTACTAAAAGTCCAAGTCATCTGAAGAAAGAAGTCTATGAACTGAAAATTCAGGTATTTGTGTTATACTATCTATATAATAGTTTGGCCTTAAAATGTTGGAATCACTTCTGATAGATGGACACAATGCTGTAGGACTATTCATGTTGTGCACTGTTCCTACACTGGTGGTTAACTTTTTTAAAGAGTCTCATAGATAACATACAGTCTTCAGCATCAGTGCCACCTCTACCTAAGGGGTATTGCTGTACTATGGAACAAAATTTATTCTGCAAGCATACATTTGAACAGGAATATGTTTTGCATAATAGGCAATTATGTGTGCATGTATCTAGAGCAGGGCAGAGAACTGCCAGTGCTTTGCCTGGAGACCCTGAGCCAAGAAACCAAACCAGCAGACAGAAAGGCTGTGGAATGCACTGCAGAACACCAGTGCGGGCCAGGCTTGCTCCTCAGGCAAGGCCTTGCCCCATACAAGAGGCCCTTTATGTCCACTCTTGTCTGGGTCCAGAACCTGAGAATGCTTCACTGCTAGGAAGCTGCAGTTTGAGAAGCTTACGAAGGACAGTTGCACACAGAGCCAAAGATTTCTTGTTGTAGCCTGACTGGGGCAATGGGCAGCCATACTTTCCATTGCAGGTCAGGGATGAGATTGATGGCTTGAGCTAGAAGCAGCAGCCTTAAGAATTTAGGTTCTATCCCTGAGGTCCCTTTCTTCAACTCCTTGTTAAATGGCTAAATGAAGCATCACCTCATTAGTCTTCATAATCTGCCATATAGAGGTGCTATACTCCAACTCCCATCATCCACTGTCATACTGGCTGTGAGCAATGGGAGTTGTAGTCCAACAAACACATCTAGAGGATGCCAGATTGAGGAAGGCTGACTTATACTCTGGATATAAGCAGTCACCTTGGGCAAACTGTAGATCTGATGTCACAGATCAACATGATGGGGTCCACAAATGGGGGTCACCCTGTCTCCTCCAAGTCCTTAATTCAGTCATGGGCAAGAAGCACCCTGCTTGCTATTGAGCCAATTTTAGTGGACCCAATGACCCCCAGACATCTGTGGGTATCCCAAGGACATCCTGGCAGTATTCAGAGCCATGGGGCAAAGCCAGTTCCAGAAACAAAAGGCCTAGCTAAGGAAGCCCAAATCAAATCACATAACCAGGAGCTTCAAGGCATGCTGGAGAGAGTCGTGCTCCACGAACTCCAGGCAAAGTTAATCCAGACTGAAATACTGTATTCAGACAATGATAACTTGGCAGTTTGTTTGCTTATTTATTTATTTTTTGATTTATATCCTGCCTTTTTCCTACAAAGGGCTCGAGGCAGCTTACCTCATTCTCCTCCTCCATCTTCTCCCCACAACAACAACCCTGTGAGGTGGGTTGGGCTGAGAGTCTGTGACTGGCCCAAAGTCACCCAGTTGGCTCCATGGCTGAGCGGGGACTCAAACACAGATCCTCTGAGTCCCAGTCCCATTCTCTTAACCACTACACCACACTGGCAGTTGAATATGGTTTGAGTATGGCTTGTTGTTGAACCCTGGCTTGTTGTTGATAGGGTTAGGTTGCCTACCTTGACTAACCCTTTTGGCATGATCTGCATGTTTGGCCCAGTCTTGCAGAGCAAGCCAAGCCAAGAAGAAGCCTGCAGGCACTCACAGACCTCCAGTTGCACAACTGGCGGCCTACCCCGACCACCATTCCCAGTGGCCCAACTTCTCCTCTGCTCACTGCCAATGGCAGTGGAGATGGAAGCCTGGGGGGTGGGGGGAGAGCACAGTGAGCAGGTGCACCAGCCAGCATTCCCAGCCGCCATAACTTCTTCTCTACTTGCTGCCAGCAGCAGCAGCAGCAGCAGTGGACACAGAAGAAGGTTCTGCTTGCACAGCACCTGGTCTTGCTTCCCAGTGAGCATCCTACAATCCCTGGATATAATCACCAGGAACTTGAACTCTGGGCTGCTGCAAAGTGGACCAGAGACTGGGAAGCCAAAACCAGAGGATCTGGTGGATTTTCCACTCCAAACAGGCTTCTCACACATCTCTAGTTGTTGAAATATCCCAATGTCTGATCCCAACCAATATAAGGAATGGCAGTGAACAACCCGCAGTTCACAGACCAGCAACAAGCCATGGTTCTTCTCATGGGTTCTTCATGGACATGCCATGGCTTGTTAACTCAGCTAGGTTCAGACAACACAATAGCCCACATTTCAATAACTTGCAGTTTAACAAAAGACCACATTCAACCCCTCAGCTTTTGAGTATGAGCAATTGTTTTGGCTGAACCCAGCCAAAGTATAGGGAGTCAGTTGGGTACCAACAGAGATGAGTCTGTAGACCCAAATCAGTATTTCTACTGGGGATGCGATTCAGTCTCTCAAGGCAGAGCCCGCCTGCATTTCCCAGGAGGCTTACTAAATAGCCAGTTAGTTAGCCAATGGTCAACAAGCCTCAGGTGGGAAGAGAAAGACTAGAAGAGATGGAACCATAAATGCCCAGTAAATGCGACTCTGCCCTATAGGAGCACATTCACTGCATCTTCTTCATCCCATCTATAATTTTCCTTCCATGATGCAAGATTCACAAGAGGATTAGACTTAAAATTGGTATTTTAAGTTATTTAAAACTGGTATTTCAGGCTATTTAATGGGTGTCTAAAGTGCCACACTTGTTATAGAAATCCTTTTTAATCTTGTATCAATGACATTTGCCAGTTATTCAGAACTGTCCAGATAGAATGACTGGGCTAATTAAACTGGGACTCACAAGCACTTTCCAGCTCAGTGTCATAGTTGCTTTGTAGGAATTCCTGCTTCATAATATTTCTGAAATGTATTGACTGCTTTCCTTTAAAAAGCTCATAAAAGCAGACAAAAGTCACTATAAACGAGGGCAACAGGCTAGAAATACAGCATAAAACCACTACATCCATCCAGTCTGGAAAAGAGTTTCAAGTTTTTTCTGTAAATAACACTGTCTAGACAGGGAGATATTTGATTGTTAAATCCATAACTCCTAAGAGTGGATTATTACCAAATCTATAACTATTGGTCGGATTGCCATGATCAAATGAACGCTGAAGAACTGTGATAAAGATTTATGTAGACTGTATGGACTCGATTCCCACCACCTCACTTTTGGACAAGATGTTAAAAGGAAAGAAGAGGTGGACACGGTGTCGGTGTAGCAGTATTTCTGGTAAAATGATATCTTTCTCTCTCTTTACAAGTTTTAAAAAACATATATGATCTCATCTTGTCTTCCCTGTACCTGCCTCTTACCAATGAATTGAACTCAAAGAAAATGCATGTCAAATTTAGAAATGTCACATGCCAACCTAATAAAAACTTTCATTATCACTGGTAATTCTCTGGCAGAAACTAGAAATACGGTAAACCAATTTTTTGCATGATTGCTTCAGTAAGAAATACTTCTTCTCCTTCCTCTTCCTCTATAGACTTTATATCATACTTGTTTTCCTGTTTGGAGAATCCAAGGTGGCTTTTTCCTCACTGCTACCTTGTGGGGATGGTTGGACTGAGAGTCTGTTGCTGGCTCAAGTGCTGGTTATTTTCCTTTTCTCAATAGAGGACATTTGTCCCCCAGACAGTCAGCAACAAAAGCCCCACTTTCTTCCAAGCCACTTCTCTTTGACTCCGAGCAACAGAAGACGCCAGCATTCCTTGTCTTAACTAGAGCCATCCGTGGTCAGTCTAACACAGCTGATCACAGGGGAAAGTAGTGGCCTTACAGAATCTCCCTGGCACATGCAATCCATCTGCCAGTTTTGTACGTCACCGATACTCTCAGGTCCTGCCTGAGAGCTAGTGTGGTGTAGCGGTTAAGAGCCCTGGCCTGGAGCTCCGAAGATGTGAGTTCTAGTCTCCATTGAGCCTTGGAGCTCATGAGGTGACTTGTGGCCAGTCACTTTCAAGCTAACCTGCCCCATTGATAGGGTTGTCATTGTGAGGATAAAATATAGAGGTGGAGAGCTTTGTACGCTGGTTTGGGCCTCTTGCAAGAGAAAGAAAGGCAAAATAAAAATGCAGTGTAACGTCACTTCCAAAGTTTTGCAGTTAGACTGAGAGGGCTGCTTCTGCTTGTTGCTATTTACTCTCTGGGGTGAGGTTTTGTTTTGTTTTGTTTTTTAAGAGGGAGGGCACTTTCGAAGCATCCATTTCGATTAAAGGTAGCAAAAGGTAGGAGAAACCTTTGTTTTGCTCTTCTAAATGACTTTCTCCCCAAGTTGTTCTCTAATCCATGTGACATGCTTTTGCTTGTAATGCTAGGCCCTCAGATAGAAAACATTCCACAAAAGGAAATACGAGGATCATTATGGACTGTCTTTCCAGTATATAACGTTTGCAAAGACCACACATCACCTCCCATGGGTGACTAAGGTGATACTAAGCACCAGAGAACATCTGGGGCTCAAAACCTACGTAACAAAAGGAAGAAAAAGCTGTACATTTGCACATACTCATTTAGTTACGCTCTGTGTGTGTGTGTGAAGGACCTGTTCTCTGTGGACACTTTTATTTTTTAAGAAAGAATGAATGCAAAAAGCATTTTTCCCAGAAAAACACTTGTGGCAGCAGAAATGTTTCTGGCGGAGGCAGCCAGAGGAGTTGCACAAGTGAATACAGCTCATCCCGTACCTTTACAGGATCAGATGCAGCTCAGATCTTCAAGTCTGTGATAACTTCCTCTTGGCCAGTGCCCATGGACAGCAGGCTGATGGGGCAGATGACCTCTCAGATGTGAGATTTGGGCCCCCAGTCCTAATGGGCCACTCCCTCACAGCTCCTCAACTGGCAAAATATGGGATTTTCATTTGATTGTTTCTGTTGAGTCCATTTCAGTCTGCTAAGATCAGCACTTTGAAATCGTTCCAAGGCTCAGACTTTAAATTCAAATGTGAAGATTCACAAGTTATAAGTTGGGTTCTGATAGCACTCTAGACCACGCTTTATTTCCCCTGTGTGGAATTTGGGTTGTTTCTCTTTTTGTCTTATTAGAACAATGTCTTGGAACAGAGTGTACTGCATACTGAGTGCTAGCATCTCTTGTACGAGGAGACCTCTTCCTCATTGCAAAATAGCATGTAAATACCCAGCCGATAGGCTGGATGATTTCCTTCCTTCCTTCCTTCCTTCCTTCCTTCCTTCCTTCCTTCCTTCCTTCCTTGAATGTGTCTGTGCACAACTCAGCAGGAATTTCTACTACCTGAACTCTGTTAAAACAAATAGAATTAGCAATAATGAAGTAGCAGGACTAGTTAATTCTGCTAAGGTTTATGGTATAGACTTATCTGTCATATTGATCTGTTTGTACCTTGTTCATTAAATCGACATTTATTTTGCTTTTTCTAAAAAAATTAAAAGCATGCATGCATCAATGACACATTTAAAAATGCATTGCTTATTTGTTGGGTGGGGTGCCTCCCCCCAATTCTTTCATTGCTGCCCTTCATTTCACAGGGAAGTTCATAGCAGGTTTGAGGAAGTAAGGACCTCACTGAACTATAAAATACCATAGATAACAGAGATAGAGGGAAGCGGGCTGAGCACAGCCCATACAGTTCTGTCTCTTGTTGACTCCAGGCCTCCGAAATCAATCCAGAGGGTGATCTGACTGCCCATGCCTTTGCCTTCGTAACCATAAGAATTGTGGACCTAAACAATCACCCCCCTACCTTCTATGGAGAAAATGGGCCCCAAAACCGTTTTGAACTCACAATGTATGAGCATCCACCAGAGGGAGAGATCCTGCGGGGACTCAAGATTACAGTCAACGATTCAGATCAGGTCAGTGCGTTATCATTGATCTCCTAGCCATCTGCCATTTTATTGGTTTGATTTTATTTACATCCTGTCCTTTCACCCCAAAACTAGGCAATCATGGTACTTGAAGGACAGGTTGGTGGCAAGAACTTAAGACCACTGTCTTCATGTCCCATTTACTCCTCCTTGGTGTTCTTCAGACAAAATAGTTTCCTAGATCAGTGGTAGCCTCCAGATGTGTTCGCCAAGCTGGGGGGTGATGGGACTTATAGTCCAACAGATCTGAAGGGTTCCAGATTAAGGGAGGCTGGATTAAGCAGATGCTTAGTCTTGCAGTCTAAATTTGGCCGAATTGTGCACTTTCTTAAGTGCGTTATTGAGGGTTTGGTCGATTTGCTGATAGAAAGAATGGGCTTTACCTTCCTTCTTAATTTCCATTACAGGAACTTCTGATTCCTTTCTTTCTGGGATTTTGTTAAATCCATCCTACTGGAACATTGTTTCAAAACATGATCATTCTATGCCCTGAGCATGGTTTTATTTAACCAGAGGAGCATGATTCTTTTAGGTTTACCAAAGACCTTCCACTACAATATAATTTTCATGGGAAAAGTGACAAAAGTTGCTATGGAAACCAGATAATAGCTTCCACCTGAGCTAACCCAAGAGGGAAAGTTGAGACCTGAAAGTTTAATACACATGAAAGAGCTGCAATTATTGAGAAGAAAATCGAACCCATCAACATGTAATGCAGACTCAGTGTTGTGCTAACATGGCTACATTCTGTGTGAGATAAAAACCTACAGCGCTCCTGCCAGCCTTCGGTAAAGGGATAAATAACTCAGTTTGAGGCAGCAGCCTCATAATTGCTGCTACTGCAAGCACAGAAGGCAGGAAAATTAAAATTTAAGTGCTTAGTAATATTTTGAAACATGTGGAGGTCTGCAAGAAGAAAAAAAATCTCAGTTGGTATATTTTCTTTCTACCTTGTTTCAATTGCATCTCTTTCACACTTTTTATGCTTATAAAATAATCTAACTTTCTTCTGACATTAACTGCTGTACTGATATTTTCACTCACGCACTGGAGAAGACAAACACGCTAGGGAAAGTGACAAGCAGTCAAAGAGCAAGACCAGATATGAGCTGGATTGATTCCATAAAGGAAGCCACAGCCTCGAGTATACAAGGCTGTCAAGGAAATGGACATTTTGGAGGGCACTCACTGATGAGGTTGCCATAAGTCAGAGATGATACGTGCCACCAAGGTCTTCATTTGTTCTCCATTTCTGCTCCTTGCCCTTGCCCTCTTCCTCCTCCTCCTCCTACTACTACTACTACTCCCAAAGTCTATTGCAGAGTTGGAGACTCACATTCTACTCCCCATCCCACCACGAAGCTCACCAGGTGACGTTGGCCCAGCCATAGACTTTCAGCCTCGCCTACCTCGCAGGATAAAACAGAGCCTTGTAAGAGCCATATTGAGTTCCTTGCCAGAGGAAGAAAGGCCAATTGTGAATATAATGCAAGAATAATAACTTTGTCCAGCTTTCATTGCTTCCCTGGTGTGTCAACACACATAATTCCTGAGTTGCAAAGAGAGGAGCTGATCATGTAGGGCTCATATTTTGCCACTCCTGATAGAGGCGTGTGACGGGAGGATCTGTTAGCATAAAAAGCAGCAACTTGCAGCTCCAGGGCAAAATAGTTGTTTTCATTTATGTACATTCATGTCTTGCCTTTCTTGCATCATGGAACTCACATACTGCCCCCGAAAGATATGGTGCCCTTCAGTTGCTAGCTGAGGGGTCAACAGCAAGTGACTTTTAACCCTGAGACTTCCCTGTCATTTCAGGGAATCAGCCGGACCTCTGGCTGTTAGTCAAACTGTGAAGTCCAGTTCATTTGGATTCAGTGGACGTCCAGTGGACTGATGTGGATCCACATCAGATGTGGATCAGGGTGTTACTTTCTCCCACCATGGATCTTTGTCTCTAAGACAGGCTGCAGTTTGTGCATTTAAAAAAACAGTTCTAAAGAAAGCTACGCGATCTGCTCAAATATCAGAGTCTGCATAAATTTATGCCCTTTGTGCACATCACAGCATTTCTGCATGTTTTGTGCAAATAATCACCAAAAAAGCACTTCTTCCTCACATGATCTGCATAGCTCATACAAGGATCATGTGCTTTTCAGGCACTGGTTTGCACAAATCAGCCCATTTTATGCCAATTTCCTTAGCATTTTATACAAATCATACAAATCACAGCCCCTCTTACAAACACAAGTTCATGAACCTGCTCAGCTTGAACCATAGCATCAGTTTCAGATGGGTGAACTGGAATCCAGAAAGCTGAGCTGTGGGAATCAGTCAGATTTTCAGCCCCATCTGATTCCCCCCTCACCTCTAGCCATTACCTATCCCCACTTCCTCAAAAGGTCCCTCCAGTAAAACTAGTTTGTTTATGAATTTATTAGAGCTGTATCCCACCAATTTTCATTACAAAGAACTCAAAGCAGCTTGCATCATTCTCCCCCTCCTGTTCTCAATCTTATCCCCACAACAACAACCCTGTGAGCTAGGCTGGGGTGAGAGTCTGTGACTGGCCCAAAGTCACCCAGTTGGCTCCATGACCGAGTGCGGACTAGAAGCTGGATCGCCTGTGCCCCAGACCTGTGCTCTTAACCACGACAGCACATTAGTTGCCAATCTGGGCATTGATTCCTCAGCACCCACTATGCTTCCCCACAAGTAGCCATGTGGGAGTTTTATTGACCCTTCACATTTTTCCCTAAGCCATGAAAATGATCTTCAGCTGATCTTCCTGCGCATTGGTAGCTCTATGGGAAAGCCGTGGTTTTTTTTCTAGGAAACTGTGTAGGAAAATAAATGTTTTAATTTATTCATGATACCATTTCATCTTTCCCCTCCACACATGCACTAGCATACTCCCTCGTCCTTTACATACTTGTGGCAACCCAGACTGGAAACATGCTGTGTTTGATCCTGTGATCATTTCCCATCCTACCTGCAAAGTTCAAATCCATAATCACCTCCACCTCCATATATATTTAGGAGGAGGAGGAGGAGGGGAAGACTGTGAAAACCCCTGGGACTAGGGTTCTTTGCTACCTTTCTTTTGCCAGCTGAATTTGTTTAAAGACAAAATGAGGCAGACCAGGAGGGAAAGAAAGGAAAAGTTTGGAAAAGTTTCCAGCTTTTGGAAAAGTTGCACCTGCTGAACTTTTGCTCAATACACAAAAGAGGTCCGAGCAAGGGAGGTCAAAACAGGAATGCAAGATCCCTGCATATAACCAGTGGATTTCTGTGACTCATTTTCTTACACATCCCTGATATTATCTTTTCTGCAATTTCATATCGATTGTTGGATCACTGTAAAGCTGGTGTATGAGAGACAGTACTTGCCTACACTAGGAAAACAGTGGGGCAAACCTGTGCCTGTTTAGACCAGGGCAAGTTCTGTAAGTTCAGGACTTCTTCTGTCTAAAGATACTGCGATTTACCCTTGAGCTGAATGTAATAAGCATGTCTTTGGCTCCATGGTAGCCTGGGAATGTCGTTAAGGGAGGAAAGAAATAAGACCTCTCTAGCAGAGCTATGAACATCCTTTTGAAACTGCCCCAGGATCCCTTGAGAGGAAAAATAGGAACAGTAAATCATTTTATGACTGGTGACAGCTGATCCTCTCATGCTCCTAGAAATGTGTTATGGCAAGTTCAGTAGCCACATCAATCTACTGTGGCAAAATCAAGACACTCATGACTCACCCAGGAGCCACTCCCAGCCTTTGGTTGGCTGAAGGAGGGTGCAGGGAATCATCTTCAAATATGACCTGGTCAAGAAATAAGAGGCCTGCTTCCTGATGGCTGGGCATGGATGTGAAAGCAGGACAGTGAAGAAAGCTGACGGGAAGAAAATGGATGCATTTGAAACATGGTGCTGAAGGAGAGCTTTGAAAATAGCCTGGATTGAGAGAAATATGAGCAAGTGTGTCCAAGTAATCAAGCCAAAGCTTTCCCTAGAAGCAAACACTGCAAAGCTGAGGCTGTCATTCTTTGAACACATCATGAGAAGGCATGACTCCTTGGAGAAGACCATCATGCTAGGGAAAGTCAAAGGCAGGAGAAGAAAAGGAAGACCAAATAAGAGATGGACTGTCTCCACAAAGAAAGCCTAGAATTTAGAACAACTGAGCAGGGCTGTCATGGATGGGACATTTTGGAGGGGTTTCGTTCATAGGGTCACCTTATGTTGGAGATGACTTGACGATACAACAAAACTCTACCTAAAATGGCTCATTTGGGGGTAGCCACTTCATTCTGATTATTTATTTATTTCTTTATTTTTCAAGTTATATGCTGCCTTTTTCCTACAAAGGGCTCAAGGCAGCTTACATCTTCTCTCCTCCTCCATCTTATCCCCACAACAACAACACTGTGATGTAGGCTGGGCTGAGAGTCTGCGCTGGCCCAAAGTCACCCAGTTGGTTCCATGGCTAAGCAGGGACTAGAACCCAGATCCTTTGAGTCCCAGTCCCATGCTCTTCACCACTATGCCACACTGGCTTTCCACATTATGCAGCCCCAAAGTCTCTTTTCCAGATTAATTACACATGTAGCCAGTCAAAACTAGATAGTGCTGTGCTGTGACTGGATGAATAGGCAACCTGCCAAGTCTATTTTTGCAAAAGCCACAATGTCTTGTGATCAGAGCTGGGAGATTACTAAGAAAGCCTCTTAGTTGTCTCTCAGCCAATTGCTGCAGAAGAGGAGATTCTAAGCAGTCCTGCTAGACCACTTTTCATGCACCCCTGCACAGCCATTGGGCCCTTTCTCTGAATTCTGTGCATCGGATGGAATTTAGGAATAGGCCTCTGGGCAGCTTGGAATACAGCCAGTGTTGGCCTGAGCATCCAGGAGAACTGGGTTCTAGTCTGCACTCAGCCATGATGCTCACTGTGTGACTTTGGACAGAGAGTCAATGCCTGGCTCCATCTACCTCACAGGGTTATTGTTGTGCAGCTAAAGAGGAGCTGTCAGCTTCCTTGAATTCTGCCCAAGAAGAAAAAAGATGGGATATAGATACAATGAGAGGAGGAGGAGGAGGAGGAGGAGGAGGCACAGACTTGATTAAATCCTTTCCATCTGTGTTTCATAAATTGCCAGGTGCTTATAAATTGTGTTTCATTCCGTTGTCCATTCATGAACAGAACTGGATTTTTTTCCTCGATAGCCCAAACTTTATTCCTTCATGTTTGTGCAAATTTGCACTTTTGCAAATGCACAAATTCCCCCAAACATGTAACTTTCACACATTCGCCTAGGTGATGTCCAAGGTACATTTTGGGTTTTTCATTTTCTTCCATAACTAAATTTGCCTAAAGTTCCAGATTTTTTTGACAGTTGGCTACTCCCAAGTATCCCTGGGATTTGGAGAAAGTCTGTCCTCTGCAGGAACCATGCTCAGAGTCCTAGAAATGAAAACTCATTTGCATCCATTGCAGGTTTCTCTGGTATGCCCAGCTGGGGATGCCCAGCATGATTTCATCAGGTTTCCTGATTAAGTTTACCAGCCCTGTGCACACAAGCGTAGAAGGCCTCTTCTCATTCACAGTGATGGGGCTGGCAGAGTTGTACACATGGAACTCAGGGGAGCATCCTGCCAACATGTTCCCCCTTCCCTCTGAATGTTGGCCTCGAAGAGAGGAAGTGTCAAAAGTGGAGGTGGTTCTTTCACAGAAGCACAGAAATACACATACATATCCATACATACACTCCAATACATATGTACCCATGTATTTCACACACACACACACACACACACACACTGTATTACACTATTTAATAGATGACTATACTGTATGTGTGACTATACTCTATGTGTGTGCATGTGCTTTTCAGTAAGAAATACAGCAAAGCTGTTACTTATTGTTGTAAATGAGTCTCTCATTTGCCAACTCTTTCTTCACAGGGAGCGAACGCTAAATTCAACCTCCGCCTTGTTGGGCCCGGTGGCATTTTCCGGGTTGTCCCCCAGACTGTCCTAAATGAAGCCCAAGTCACAATAATTGTTGAAAATTCTGTTGCCATTGACTATGAAAAGTTCCAGGTGTTAACTTTCAAGGTATTCTAACTACTCCTGCCTCCTTTTGTTAGAGCTTGTTCTTTTCTTTTTCTTTTTCTTTTTTTAAGGGGGGTGGGATGAGGAGAAGAATCTTAATTTCCACTGGCTTGCGCCTAACAAACTACTGTAATGGGACACTGTGCATTATTATTAGTGGTAAACCCTTCCTTTCTTGCCCTGGGCTCCAAAACACTAGGCCATCCTTTGCAATACAGGCCTTTGTTGACACTCCACAGCTAACAAGACAATGCGACTCTAATAACCCTCTAGCAAGCTGAATGTTACACCTCTATTCCTATAAAGAACTATGAACTCAAACTGGAAATTTGTCCCCACGCCTTCCCTTTCATTTAGCCTGTGGGTTCCACCCTCAGTGTAGCTCCTGCCAGTGGAGACCCAGCTGGTGAGGCCCACACAAGTCAAGCCCTCTAACTGGGTGGAGCGTCTCTCCCAATGACTCCTCATGGGGTCAGGGACCAGGCAAGGTAATGGCTCTCCCTCCTCCCCTGAGTCCCATCCCACCTCTTCCAAAACATATTTGCTCTCACAGTTGGCCTGGGAAACTGCAGGCACTGGGTCTGATGGAACTTCAAAGACTCCGACCCCTTTTTGATCCTCCTGTCCTCCTATCACTTCCTTGGCACCCTCCCCTTCAGAGCCCAGTAACAAGAGACACTGGAAAGTCAGCCAAGGGTGAGTCCCCAGCCCACTGACTATATCCTACAGCCAGTGTGGGGTAGTGGCTAAGAGTATGGGACCAGGATTCAGCCGATTTGGGTTCTCATCCCTGCTCAGCCAGGGATCAACTGGGTGACTTTGGGCCAGTCACAGACTTTGAGCCAAACTACATCTCAGAATTGTTGCTGTGAGTATAAGACTGAGAGCAGGAGGAGAATTGTAAGCTGCTTTGAGTGCTGTGTAAGAAAAAAGGCTGGATATAAATCTAATAAATAATCCTCTGTTTGAGCTGAGAAGTGCTCACATGGAGTGGTGGGGTTGCTGTGGGACTCCATAGACTGGGTTCAGCAAGCCAGATCTGTAGAGGGCCACCCCACAGCAAGTCCACTTGACCTGGGCACTCCCAGATAAAGAATAAAGCACCTTGAAGCTGGGGGGGGGGTCTCCCCTTCACTGACCTTGAGGGCACCCGTGTGCTGCATCAGCCCTGTAAGGTGCTTTGCCATGTTCATTACATGTCCCACTTACCAGCTCTAAAGCAGAACCAGGACCCTTTCTGCTTCCAAACGTTTTAAAGGATCATGCACTTAATAGTCCACAAAGTCCCACACAAGGACAAACACCCATGTGCATATTAGTCCACAAATAAAGTAGGCACTTGGACCAAATACAAAATGTCAAGTATGAATTGGCTCTCAGCTACCTTTTCAAAATACTGTCTTTCTCTGTATTCACCAAAGGTTAAAGATTTTCATAGATTCTAGTCCTGTGGACAGATTGAACATACGTGCAGCATCTGGAACCCCTGCCACTCACCTGTCATAGCTCCAGCAAGAGCCCTATAAGACCCTGAAAAAATGAGACATTTGATGTGATCGAGTGTGGGGAAATAAAGTATAGAGAAGGCATAGACATTTCATTAAAATTGAAAGCTGAAACAGGTCTGGAAATTCCTCCCCAGACAAAATTTCTAAGAAATTTGGAGGTTAAGAAATTGGAGTTTTGATGAGACCAGGGAAGTTTACCCTATGGATTCTGCATATCCCTAAAATTATAAATTTCCTTCCCTCCCAGATGTGGTAGTCTAATTGTACAGGAAGGCGTGCAATTCTTTTGCGGGGCATACCTTGGTCATCTCTTTTGACCTGCTCTCTGATTTGGGCACAGAGTATTCTGGATTATCTGGGTTAATCTGTTGGTTAATCTTCAATAGGCATAGATATTTCTGTCTAGAGGAAGGTGGCTGAAGTTGATGATCTGCAGCTCTTTTTGGTTTCCGCCATAGCCCTTGCTTACAGATTTCACAGGGTTTAGATTAAACAGGTGCAACCAGAATGCAACATATAATTATTCCTACTAAAACTAGAAAATTCACAGAAGGTTATGAAGCATTGCCCAAGTATGCATGCTAAAGAAATTACATGCTGGGACCTCATGAATACTAATAGAATTCAACATGATTAACGGTACTGCTGTAAACTCCAAAGGAAGTAATTAAAAGAGAAAAGAGTGTGTTTCTTTTTACTTAAGAGAATGCACACTTTGTCTTGCACAAAACTGTTATTACTATTATTATGTGAGAATGATGGAAGGGGCAAGGGGCTTTGCCAGAAAATATAGAGCCCCTTTTTAAATTCCAATTTTATTGGAGAGAAAGAAAGTCATAGATCCACCATTTCATGCACAATAGTTGTGAAATATCCACTAACTTTATCGGACTGAAAACCCACCAATAAATTGAGTGCTAGCCAGAGAGAACAAAACTACTTCTTGGTGCATAAGCTGATACGGCACCAAAGACCCTACTTGGCCAGCACTGGGTTTGGAGGTAGCCATTATGCATTGTTCTGGTGAGCAATCATTTGGATGGCCGCACCCTGATTTATTCGTGGGGCTGCCTTAGAAAATGGCTGGAAACTTCAGGCGGTCCAAAACTAGGTGGCCAGAGTGATAATGGGAAATGTCCAAAGAATCCAGTTATGCCAGTAATTTGCTTTCTGTACTAAGTGCTGGTCTGTTTCCGGGGTCCAATGCAAGGTGCTGCTTTTCACTTTTATGCCCTGCAGGACTTAGACTCAGATTCCCTGAAAGACAGCCTCTGCCCACTATACCTCCCCGAATCCTAAGGTCATCATCTGAGCACCCTTGCTAAATGAAGCAAGACGGGCGCTAAAAAAGCAAGGCCTTTCTAGCAGTGGCTCCCCATTTTCAGAGTCTCTTCCCTAGAGAAGCTCACTTGGCCCCTGCGTTCTGCTGCTTTTAGTACCAGGCAACCATCCCTCCCACTGCAAGGCATTTTAGAAACTGTTTTTAATGCCTTTAGATATTTACAGAGTTTCATCCCTGCTGGTGGTCTTCCTTCTGGTTGTGTTATGTCCTGTTGCTAGTATTATTTTGGGGAGGGCTTGTTAGGGGATTTATTTTGTTATGATTTTGTTGCTGTTTTTGAATGTGTTTTTAACGTGTACATCATCCCAAGAATTCCAGGTAGTAGGCCTTTTAACATGTAATAAAGAAAGACCATTTAGTGGAGAAAGAGTGACTTCTGTACCTGCTGAGTGCTGCCAATGGTCCTAATTCCAGATTGTATGCATAGCCCACCATAGTCTCTGCATCCACCCCCTTGGCTTTGGCTTCCACGTGCAATTGCACCCCGTTCCTTGTGGAATATGTAAGAGGTGGCCTACAAAAAAGCTGTAGGAGCAACGATGAGCATCGAGAAGCATCAGCAGCCAGCAGCAACTCAGGGGATCCACAGTCTTAGATCTCTTTGGGATACAAAGTGCAAGTACAGTCCATTGTGTATGTCCTGCTGCCATGGAGCCATGATGAGCAAAGATGGTGCCACATTGAGCATTCTGACAGTCTCAGCATGCATTGCTCCTGTTTTACAACAAATTTCCAACCCTTATGGCAGAAAGAAAGAAAAATTTTATAGCATGGGAATAACAGCTATTAAAATGTCAGAAAACAAAGCGGGGAGGCAAAATATGATTTCCAGGACCAAGGGGGAGTCTTGGGTGGTGAGCCAGAGGATTTGCTTCCAAGGACTGCTGAGAGGTTGATGAATCCCACTTGGGATCCCCTATAGGTTCCGGGAGTACTGCAAGCTTGAGTTTGCGGCACACAGCACATAAACTACATGGCCTTTATACACAGACTTTAGGAGCCACATGAGAATTAACTTTTTATTGTTTCTCAGATGGGTAAACACAACATTTTCCCATTATTCTTCCTTTGTTTTGGCGCATGTTCAGTTGATGTGATTCTGCAATATTAATCCTTAGGATGTTGATTAAACATAATTTTGCATTACAATAGTGTGTCCCTTATTAACTCTTGAAATGATTATTTCTCCTTCTTTCCTTAGCTTCTTGCAATCGAAGTTAACACTCCTGAGAAGTTCAGCTCCACTGCTGATATTGTAATCCGGCTCTTGGACACCAACGATAATGTTCCAAAGTTCTCCTCTGATTACTACATTGCTAGAATTCCAGAGAATTCCCCTGGTGGTTCCAACGTAGTGGCTGTAACAGTAAGTTTAATTCCTTTCTTTCGAGTCATGCTCCATTTCATTAACTGATTTTCTAATACTGCATAATTATATCTGTAATTATTACCTAGCTGGCTGCTGTCCCCACCCCAGTGGCTGCCTTAAAAAAAGAAAGAAAACTAAGTATTCAGTTACTGACAGCAAAATCTCTCGTGCATCTGAGTATGAAATCAAGCTTAAAAGAACACTGAAAATTAAATTTGAATTCACCAGAGTCTGTCATTGTACATGGAACAATTCTGGAACTTTCTGTGCTGATCAGACATGTCTTTGGCACGCCATGTTGTTCTTGTTCTCCCCTGTCCATGCCCACCACCCTCAGCCATGTATTTGGCCCTCATGGAATCCAGAAGTGCCAGAAAAAATGTTGCGACATCTTTTTTAAGCTGAGCAGGATTTCTAAATTTGAATTTTTCTCCACCGATGTGCACTATGTCCTGAAATGTGGAAAGTGGTAAAGGATCACAGCCCAGGAAAAGCAGTAGGTAGTTTCTTTCCATGAAACACTCTGAAAATAATGATCTCAAAGTGGAATCTCTTTCATGGAGTAAAACTTGATGTTGTCACATATTCAGTCTGACAGCTTAGCTGTGGAACAGCAAGCTAGCATTGTCTTCAGTCTCTCTGAATTAAATTAATTAAGTTAGTATTCGAAGCATGCTGTGATCCGTGTCAGAGAACTGAAAGGAGAATATTACTGAGAGCATTACCACATATAGATTCCCAACCACCATCTCTTGAATTGTGTTTTGGTCATTAAGAGTGGCTATAGATCTCTAACTGAAAAGAAAATGTCTCAGTAGATCACCAAACTACTATTCCCAGAATTCTTTGGGGAAAGTCATGCCAGTTCATCTTCTATGAAACTTACATGAATTTTAAGTGCAGATGTGCCCCTGGAGAAGACAGGTATTTTCCCCACTGTGTGCTCTATCCATTTCATATGTTATATTGTGTAAACCAGAATATCTGGGAAGAAAAAGCATGGCAGATGCAAATAGCAAGATGGTAGATTTTCAGCTCTCTCCCATATTTTCTAAGTGCGCAATCTCCATAATGCTTAGGCATTTTATTAGCAGAAAAATGTAAATGTTATGAGCAACATTTCCTATTTTTCCAATTTCAAACCTTACGGTGGTCTGTCTCGCAAGTGTGCAGAGCCACCTTGTGGCCACACCAGGATATGCAACTAGTTCAGAGAGCTCTGGTGGAAAGTTAGACTCATAGAATAGCAGAGTTGGAAGGGGCCATGAAGGCCATCGAGTCCAACCCCCTGCTGTTGCAGGACACCAAGTCACACCATCCCACTCAGAGGGCTGTCCAGTTTCTTCTTGAATGTCTCCAGTGTGGGCGAGCCCACCACCTCTCTGGGCAGCTGGTTCCACTGTTGTATTCCTCTGACAGTGAGGAAGCTTTTCCTGGTGTCCAGCCTGAATCTGGGTTGTCACAACTTGAATTGATTATTCCGTGTCTTACACTCTGGGATCAGCAAGAAGAGATCTTGACCTTCTTCTTTGTGACAGCCTTTGAGGTACTTCTAGAGGGATAGCCTGCCCCCCCCCCCCCAGTCTTCTCTTCTCAAGGCTGAACATGCCCAATTTTCTCCATCTCTCCTTATAGGGCAGAGTTTCAAAACCCTGGATCCTTTTTGTTCCATCCTTTCTTATAGATTCTTCTACCTGATAGCCATTGATGGCCTTCTCCGGGAATGTTGCTTGTGGTGGCAATCTGGAGCTGAGAAGTGGCAGGATACACAAGAACCTTCCCCATCCACTTTGCCACTCTAAATCCCATTCCAAACCTGCTTTTCCATAGGAAAAGTTTTCTTGCGGTTGTTGTTGCATGCCACCCAGCTACCATTGTGTTGGAGCCCTGAATTTAGCCCTGAATTTAGAACAGCAATGCTTTTGGGCAGTCCCCAACAGTTCCTGGGAGCTACCTGTCTGGACAAGTCTGCCAGGCATCACCATATATTTTCTGTGACACTTTCCCTCATGGTCAGCCTCAGTATGTCACGTTTGCAGAAACTAAGCCTGCGGGCAGGAGCTGCCACATTAATTCCACGTAAGCCATTCAAGTTTTTTTGGCTGGAGAGCAGGGTGTGAATGTAATGCTTAAAATTATTCATACATGATAAATATGATAACAAGAAATGACTTCTAGAAGTTGTCCTTGTTTCCCCTCAAAAAGATATATCCTCTTCTTGCATTCAGTACTCAAATTCAAAGTAACAAAGTTCTTTTTGTTGTTGTTGTTGTATAATCATGGGTTACATAACTGTGGGAATAGGAGTGGTTTGGATGGAAGGTGGCTTTGTGGTGTGGCTTTGCTTATCATGAAGGGACCCCCCACATCTAAAGTTGCCGCTATACCACTGTGCCATCAAGTCATCTCTGACTTATGGTGGCCCAATGAATGAAAGCCCTCCTATTCATTCTGCTTAGCTGTTCTAAATTCAAGGCTTCATTGTTGGAGTCAAGCCTTCATTCATTCATTCATTCATTCATTCATTCATTCATTCATTCATTCATTCATTTCTATACTGCCCCACAGCCAAAGCTCTTTGTATTTGGTCTTCCTTTCCTTCTTCTGCCTTCGAGTTTCCCTAACATGATGATGGTCTTCTCCAATGGGCCTTGTCTTCTCATAACATGGCTGCCTCATATTTTCTTCTAGGAGGAGCTCTGGTTTAATTCAATCTGGGCACCTGATTTTTTTGCCTGAACCTACACATAAATATGTAGTTCTGCATGGTATGAAAGTTGGCTTTATTTTACTTTTAACCAATTAGAACCTCTTTCCATTCTCTTTTTAAGGCAACAGACCCCGATTCAGGCCTTTGGGGTGAAATGAAATACTCCATATATGGAACTGGATCAGATCTGTAAGTTTAACATCAACAGACAAATATTTATGTGCGTAATTACTATTCACATACCTCTTTTCATAAGAATGTGTTTGAATAATTTTCAAGTGACTGGCTCATGGACAAGAAATTAAACAACGTTCCAGTGCATTAATCACAAACAGGATAAGAGCCATTTCTAAAATTCTCTCTATTCTCTCTGTTGAACCTTAAAACTTCCTCAGCATTCTTCCATACTGCCTGTATGACAAGCTGTCTTGTGCAGCATTTAAATGTTTTCAATACATCAAGAAGTAAACGGGTAGAACATTAAGAGTAGGAGCAGCAATCTTTTCAGAGGTACAAATTAAACTGCCTTTGTGATGAACCCTTCAGCATCTTCCTTCTGTAGCATTGCAAATCAAACAGTCGCAAACTGATCATCTGCTTAGTCATTTTTTTATACATGTATTTATTTATAGGCTACCTAGGAGGGCCTTGGCAGTTATAGGTGGCCTTTAAATACATGTATAAATAAACAAATAAGCTGAAACAAATCAATATATCCTACCACAGATGTCTTTCCTTTTGCAGAAAAAGGTGGTGGTGCTGGTGCTGATAGGTATCATGATGATGAGGAGGAGGAGGAGGGCAGTAACTCCTTTGTATTTCAGTAGGCAGATGCTTGGCTTGTCAGACCTACTTTCCTTTTCTTTCCTGTTGAATCTGCAAGGTCCAGTCAAAGCTAGTGGCAATATGGCAGCTGGGTGGGGGGTGAGGAATACAACACCTTCTGAAGAGCCATGTATGGGGGAGACCTACTGCATGCATGCACAATTTGCGCCTAAGATGCTATGGGTTCTAACAGCAAGCCAGCCTGCCCCCACAAATCCAGAAAGACCTAGTTATGGCTTAGAAACTAAATTTCAGGTGTGAATTGTCTTGGGGACTGTGCTCTCTCTTCTGGTGTGTTTAACAAGTGAATCGCATTCATGCAGCAGTGTGACGACATTAACATGGACAACATCAGGAAAATCCCGTCCTTTTCATTTCCAGGAAGCTGGATGTAAGTAGAAGATCCTTAATCACAACGAAGGCCCCAAAAGGGAATGAGGAAATAATTGCATGTTTAATTACTTCCAGTATGTAGAGATGTTTCATGCACAGCAAACCTATGTTAAAGCTTTTAATAGTGTTAAAGGTGTCTGCTTTGGGACGCTTTACACTGGGTATCACTGTTGTATTTGCTGCTCACCATTTTCAAGAAAACCAACTGCATTAAAACCTACTGGAAATGATGTTAGAGTTCTTAAATCCTGCTTGGCACACTTGACATTTGGAGATTGTTGTTAGTGTTTTTGTTATTATATTTGTGACTCACATTGCCATATCCAAAGTAGAAACAATATAATATTATTTTGCAGCAAAAACAACAACATTAACACCCAGAGAATTTATTACGCCATAAATTTTTGTGACCTGGAGTTCAGTTCATCAGATATATGAAATATTACACTAAGTGAGCAAATATATGCAAATACACATACACAAAGCTGTTGGACGAATTTTTAGCAGAACTATTAACCTCATAATTAGAAGGAAATAGCATGCAACACTTACAGGCAAATTATTATGTTAAAGCTTAAACAAATATAAAATTATTACAGTGACCATTCACAAAGTAGGCTGATGCTAACACCAGCAACCTGATAACCTAATTAATGTCTGTAATGTGATTATAAACCCATTATCTTGACTGAGGCCACAGGTAATAGAATTAAACCTTTTGGTAGGGCGCAATTCAGCAATTTCACATTGGCCTGAAAGATTTAAGCAAATACAAAGTAAACGAGTACAGCAAGGAAATAAATCAGTTAGAAACCACATAAATAGAAAAATGAAAACACATCAAAAAGTACTTGGCAGCATGTTTCAGGAGAAATAAGTTTCCAGCTTCTAGAGGAAGAAGCTCCAAGAATCTCATGACAGATTTCCCTGTTCAGGACATTTCAGAAGGCAATGGTCAAATGTAGTGCTGGATACAACAGCTACAGTTGTATTGCTCTATCATCCTTGGACATTATATTGCCCACCAGAAGTTTCAGGTCTCAAGAGGAAACCGAAAAGGAAGGCTCAAGGGTAAGAAAGGCTGAATGTACAAAATAGCTCTGCATAGAGCTAAGAGGATCTGCTCCCACCCCATTTAACTCTCCTTTTCACAGACTAGAGACTTAGGTAGGGCATTTCATCAGTTGTTCCGTGACTTTTTCTCCTTCTGTGATGGTCCTGGTTATGATGGCATCAGCTGGATGCCAACCTTGGGTGGTTAGGCAAATTTTTTCCCTTTGTTTTCACCAGGGCTTTTTTTGTCATAGAACGCACCGGAATGGCGTTCCAGCACCTTTTTTCCAATGAATTTTACAAAGTGATTTTGAATCGCCTGTCGTTGTAGCAGGTCAGCAGCAAACATCATTAACATAGTGCCTGAGGGCTGCTTTTGTGTCCGCGCCGCCCGGCTTGGGACGCTGCTCGGCTTGGAATTGGTGTGTGTGATCACGGGTTGAGTGCTTACTGCCGGCGGTGACAAGAGTTCCAGCACCTTTTCTTTTTCACAAAGAAAGCACTGGTTTTCACTAACTCGTAATCAGTATAAGGATGGGAGTTCTGCCTTCATTCAGATATGACTTCGGACATCACACCGACTCTACACTAGCATCACAAAGACTAATCAGAGTAAAGGCAGGATGTACCAACTCAGTTTTTAAGTCTAATAAGCTCCCTTGAGAATGTTTGATTTAGCTTTAGTCACAAGTAGCTAGATTCATTGCTCTGGGAAATGAAAAACACTGGTGCCATGAACATAGAAGAAAATATTTCCACTAGGATTAATTTGTGTATGAAAATGATTCTGTCTCCATAATTTAGTCTACCCTTTTCTTTAATCTGATTTCACAATAGCATCTTTCAGAGTCCTTCAGCCTGTTGTTTGGAATGAATGGAGTTGAATGTGTACTCGAATTCTGCTTGGCTCTGCATCCAGACTTGAGGCATGTGGGATGACATTTTGGTCTTATGCCCATTGAACCGACAATCCTCAAATGGGCCTACTCTCTGAGACAGTCTGAATTTACCTGAGAGGGTTATTTTGCCTGCAAATGTTTTGAGGAATAGAGTTCAACTGCCTTTCAGGATCAGATAGCGAAATAAATCCCTCCTTTCTTGTTTTCTATGGGAACTGATAAAATGTACAGCAGAACTAACAAACTGCCAAAGATTGCATGCGCCATGCTTTATTTGGGGCACGACTCAATATATTATTCTTACAAACTGCATAAATATGCAATTCTCTCTTGTTTCAACACAGAGAATTCATTGGGGGAGAAGAACTATCACACTTTGCCCTTCACAAATATGAAAACTATTAACAAGGAATATAAGCAAAATGGATTTAAAATATGAAACTTGAAATGCCAGAAAATAAATCCTCCCACTCTTTTGTTTTGGCCAAAGAGGCCCTGGAGAGCTTGTAAAATACTTAACAATGCACCAGAATACATCAATGTTGCATACAGCTGCCTTTCCCCCTGTTGATTGTTGTAGATTTGGATTTAAAACTATTTTTTGCTTTTAGGCAGAAAGTCATACATCCACTAACCCAGGAGGGGGGAACCATTTTTCAACAGAAGGCTGAATTCATGTTGGGCGCTCACCTCCCCTGCAGCCCTGCAACATGATGGGCTGGACCTAATTCATATGCTTACGCAAACTCACAGTTATGCGCAGACACAATCAATGGCAGGTTCACAGTGTTGGGGATGATGGATTATTTAAAGAATCCTGTTTGCACCAGTGGACTATTTTTTAAAAGTCTATGCTGGCTTAATCATCAGTTCAAAGGGAGATTGGAGGCAGTAATTTCGGCTTGGAAGGGCAACAGTGAAGAAACATCAGTAAAGGATCATCAAGGTTGAGGATGTTTCACTGGAGACCAAAATGAAGTTCATCCGCAGTATCATTTTCCTGGTCACTGTATATGGGTGTGAAAGCTGGTCAGTGAAGAAAGCTGATGGGAAGCAACATTATACATGAAAAACAGGGTGCTGGAGGAGAGCTTGCAAATACCCTAGACCAACGGAAAGACAAAAAAGGGGTCACGGGTCAGATCAAGCCAGAATTTGCCCCAGAAGCAAAAATAATGGAACAAGGGCTGCCGTACTTCAGGCACATCATGAGAAGACAAGACTCACTGGAGAAGACAGAAGAGGAAAAGGAAGACCAACCATGAGATGGTTCAGTTCCATCAAAGAAGGCACAGCTTTGAGTTCTAAGAGCTGAGTAGGGCTGTCAAGAACAGGGCATTTTGTAGGGTGGCCATAAGTCAGAGCAAGGATGGAGCAAGCCCTTTCAGAATCCATCCTTCTAGCATTCACAGACTTCCTCTTATGCTCAGCGAGCTGACCTGAGCTGAGAAGAAGTCCAAGAACCCTTGCGGAACCCTGTTTGTGTACCAGCAACATTCCGCCAAAGGGCAGCTGCAGGGTGCTCAAGAACAGCACGGCTAGAAGGCCCAGGAGGTACCATTCTTGGTGACCTCTGCAACCAGCCCTTTTTCACATCCAGTGCAGTAGAAGAGGGGCAGTGCTCAGGTGGGCACCATTTCTGCAGCCCCAGTGACTGATCTTCTGCATCTGGTGGTTGTCCTGAGCACAGAAGAGGGGCACTGCTTGTACAGTGCGTGGGGCTCAATTTCTGGTGAGCACTCTGAGGACTCTGGACCCTTTTGCCAGGAACTTGGACTCTGGGCTTCTTCAAAGTGGATGAGAGCCCGGGAGCAGAGCCCAAGGAATGTGATGGATTCCCACCTCCAGATGGATCCCTCACACATCCCAGAGTCAGAGATGACAGCACGTAGCATTGGTCAGGAACTGGAAAAGTGTCTTATCTCCAGTTGGAGACTGGGAGTAAGATCAGGTAGTGGGTACACTGGATTGGAACCTGTCTCAACCAATTGGTAGTCAGACTGTAGACAAATCTACCATTTCCAGAGCAGTGTAAGAATGGTAAACATTGCTGAAAGTATTGCTGCATGTGTAACATTGTTTTCTACCCCATTTTGGTTTCCAATCAAAGGTTTTGCAGGAGTTGGGCATGCTTCAAGCTGCACCTAATTTCTCCTCCAAAAAAGGAAATGGCAAGAACTATATAGGGCTTTCCCAAATCCATGGTTGGAAACAGAATTCCAAGCTTGGTACTGGGAATCCACATTTGGATCCCCCTTCCTTCTTCACAGCATGTATGCCAACCATACAGTTAGTTTTCCCAGTTGTATGAGTGACCACCAAGAAGGGTTAAGGGGGAGGGGAGAAGGGGGGACCAGCATTCCAGCCTCCTTCTGTCCATCTCCAAAATCAGACATGTGGCCCACATGCAGGTCAGAGGGGGGCAGAAAAGGACAAGCAACCCTTCCAGTTTTCACACTCTGCCTGTGGAACTCACCCTCCTAAGAAAATATATGCTTGAACACTTTTTAGTTCTAGTCAATTCATTATTATGATTTGTTCTTTAACTTCATGTTGGCTTCTGAAAATGCTGGATGGCTGAGCTGAGCTTGATTTGAAATGGTTGTTTTATTACTACTGGTGTTCAGTCTTGGTTTTAATAGATGCTTTATGTCCATTGTTTTGATGTATGGTCTGCTTCTTAGCATATTTTTTATAGGTGGCTCATAGCAATTAACAAATGCATTCCTGCTATTCAGGCATAATTGCCACTAACCCCAATATAGCAGCAAGGAGGAAATCACTCTGAAAAGGGTACCTCTGAGCAAAACCTACTCCATCCTTTCCTCTGTAGTGTTTCCTGCCATCAGTGAACAGGATCCTTGCCTTTTTGTTTCCCAGATTCCTGATCCACCCTTCCACTGGCATCATCTACACTCAGCCATGGGCTATGTTAGATGCAGAGGTCACTTCCAAGTACAACTTCTATGTGAAGGCAGAAGATACAGAAGGGAAGTACAGCTTGGCTGAAGTATTTATTACTGTTCTAGATGTAAATGACCATTCCCCAGAGTTCAACGAGAACATCCAGGAGAAAACCATGATAATTGGCTCTCCAGTGAAAGTGGAAGTGAGTCATGAGATATGTGTTTGCGCATTTGATTTTATGTCAAATCAGAAAAATCTCAGGGTGTAATCTAGTTTACTGGTTTCCAGTGGATTCTGCTACTATCCTTAATTATTAACTGAGATATTAGGAATGGTATTGTTGTCACTATTATTATCCTGCTCAGCAACTTTGGAACATTCAGTAAAACATTCTTTTCCATCTCTCCTTCCCTCTGTCACTCCCCCAAAACCAACAGGCAATAGACCAAGATGCTGAAGAACCAAATAACATAGTTGACTACTCTATTATGCAAGCAGATCCAGCCAATGTGTTTGATATCGACCAAAGCACTGGGGAAATAAAGCTGAAATCCTACATAAGATCCTTGGACATCATTCACAACATCACCAATAACAAAGACTGCATATGGTCAGTGGTGGTCCAAGCCAAAGATCGGGGCTCTCCTTCATTTAGTACTACAGCTGTCCTGAAGATTGATATCACAGAAGAGGTAAGATGATAGGATGCTAGAGAAAAATGGCTAGTGTCATTAATTAGAAACATAGAAACAGAGCAAGTCAGAAGGGGTCTCCCAGGCCATCTAGTCTGACCCCCGGCTCCAGCCGGCTCTGCTCATGACATGCCCACCAGTGACCAGGATCTGAATCAAAGGATGACTTGTGATGTACACCATTGCAGGAGCCCCATCAATAAACATATTTATGTTGGGTTGAAAAGAATAAGAGGGTGCTGTCAGCAAGAAACATTTTTCCATCAGTGAGGCAAGTACTGGACCTACTTCAGTGGGGAATCTGGACACCCTAGCTTGACAGAGCGAGTACATCTTTGTTGGTTCTTCTTCTCTTAGTGACATTTAATACTACCGATTATGATAGCTTTCTGGTCAGCTGGATAGCTTGGAGCTGGGTGACACCATCTGGACCCTTTCTGAAACAGTGTTTCAGAAACTACTCTTTCTGAACAGTATTTCATACAACAGTTTTTGTTCTTTAATGTCTACATTCAACCTGTATTAGAAGCTGTCTGTAATTTTGGAGTGTGGTGTCATTGGTATGCAAGAGATATACAACTATAGCTCTCTTTTCCAGTAACAACAATGTCAAAAACAACAAGGTAACTCTGTTGACCAAATTAAAGAAGGCCCAAAATCCATACACTTTTATTGGAGTGTCATAAAGGTATGGATTTTGGAATTTCTCAGCTGGTTCCAGAATGGCGATGGAGTTTCTCATTCCATGTTGTAGCCTGTAATGGAGAGATTGTGTTGTTGTTGTTGTGTACAGTCAAGTTGTCTCTGATTTATGGCAACCCTATGAATGAATGCTGTCCAAATTGCCCTTTTCTTCACAGCCCTGCTCTGTTCAAGGTTTGTGACTTCCTTTATGAAGTCAGACTGAGATTTAATGAAGATAAAATGGTGCTCCCATTGGTCAGCAGGAAAACTGTCCTGGAATTAGTGGTGGAACTTGTTTTGGGAGGAATGGAACTCCCTCTTGAAAACCAGGTCTCCAGTCTGGAGGTGTTCCGGCTCTGCTCCTGAACAACTAATAATGGCTGTGGCTAGGATGGGCATCTTTAATTTGTGCGGTAGTGAGCCTAGCATTGCAATTGTGTGGTAGTGATAACCTGAAGACAGAACTGGCAAGATGCCCAGGTGTACAGCTTAACGATGCAAGTTCTTGTCACCTTGCTGTTGTCTAGAAGGGACAGGAATGCAGATGTGCAAATGGAGAGAAAGCCACCCGGGCAGTGATTTTCAGGTAACTTCTACCACACAATCCAATGATTTGGAACTAGGACAAACGCATCTGTACATATTTGAGAAAATTCACATTTGTGAAAATCCGTGCTCCAGAAAATGTGTGAATCAGCCAAAATTGTGCAAGTCCTCTCCCACCCTGCCAATAAAACATGTTCATACCTTATTCGATGGGGGAAACTTGCTCATCTTTGATTGGTGGCTTTGGGTTTTGTTTTGTTTTTGCATTTTAATGGCTAAATTTGGGCAAAAGTATGAAAAATAGATTTTTAAAATCAGTCTGCAAGCCCTGGGGACTCCACACTGGGGATGTGCGAGGTCCCCATTTGGGGATGGGAACCCATCAGATTCCCTGCACTTGGCTCCCTGGATTCCAGTCCACTTTGCAGCAGCCCTGCATCCAAGTTCAAGCTCCATACACTGCATTCATGGACTTCCTCCTGGCTTAGTTCACTTTGCGAGATCAGGCCAAGCTTGAAAAGCAATCCACGCATTTCTAGAGGGAAGGACTCCACCAGGGTCCATCCCAACCCAATTCTGCACAACCTGGGAAAGCCAGTTCACTGTGGAATCCATGAGGTAGACTGCAAGGTAGCCTTACTCATTTGAGTCCATTGTGGATTTCTCCGTCTTCCTTCAATATAGAGTATATGAGAGGGCAACCTATACAAGCAATAATTGATTTTGTTTAGTCTACATAACTAAATGCTAAGCTATACAAAGAATAGTTGCACAAGGTATGTCTGTCAGTGGACTGCAGCATGTCAGACGGCAGGTGGGAAATGAAATCTTTTGGAATTACCTTTTCCACATGCACGCTTGCAAACCATGTCAGACTGTACTAAGCTAGAACCCAGCTTTTCTTCTTTGCTTCCAGCTGTTCAGGGTGATATTTGGGAAGGAGCCGTGTTCATTCCCAGGTGTCTACCATGCACATGTGTGATGAGAGTTCGCATGTAGGACAGTCCACAGACTCTGCTTTCCTACATGAAGACTCCCTTCTACCCATTAACTTTGCGACGACTCAGCTCACAAAACCTGGTCTCATGTCAGTTCCTGCCAACAGCAAGGTAGCTATTTTGGAACTTCATTTTCCATGCAATGCACATCAGCAAGGAGCAATGAAGTAGTTCAAAGCACCCTCCACTCATTCCATTTCAAACTTAGTTCTTCCCAGAGCTCAAAATCTACAGGTGTGTACCTGAAGCCCATGATTTCTAGTCTTGGCTCCAGCACGGTGCCTCTAATTTCCTTAACAATATGGATTCCGGGGCTCCATTCCCTTTTCTTTTCCCTTCTTTTCTTTTCCCGTTGCATGCCCCATTTCTGCTTGCTTTGTTTGTGCCTTCTTTGCAACTGGCTTACCACAGTACAGCCACAGTACATGAATCCATTTGCGATTCTCTCGCCGGGGCTGAGTGATATTTTCCAGAGGGAAAAGATCAGCATATGCCACATTTCAGGGGAGGCAGCATGATCAAAACCAGCAGCATGGGAACGCTCCCTCCCCTTGAATAATGTGTTCAGCTGAATGCATCTGCTCCTCTTTCATTGTGTCTGACCCACCCCTGCTTCCTACAGGTGGGTGTCTTGCGTTCCCTTTTGAAGGAAAAGCTTCTTTGACAGCATGACTAGAGGTGTCCAGCAGTGTTAATCACACTGAGTAATTAAACAAGCATATTTTTGATTAAAATTTACCATTGCAATTAGCAGAAGGCTGCTCCTTTCGAGATGGATGGCCAGTGGGTAGGTTTGGCAGTTGCATGCACTGAAAAATCTTTTCCTCTTGGAACAATGCAGTGTTTAAAAATATAGATATTCCTGGGGCTATTTTATTTAATTGGCTCCCTTTTTAAAGGAGCATGTTATTAATTATAAGGCTTGTGAAAAATGCATGGAAGAACATATGCTATTTACTTCTCCTGAGAATTTGATTCCCAATATTTTATGAGATAATTGGAAAGCCCAGTTTTCTGTGACCTGGAGTCAGAAAGCCCATCCCTGAGATGATAGCACCTGCTGGGCATTTTGGTAGGGCTCGTCAACAGTCTATGCATAATGTTGTCGCTGCTATGTGTCATCAAATCTTCTCCAACCTGTGGTGACCCCATGAATGAAGGCCCTCCAAAATGGCGTGTCCATGGCATCCCTGCTTAGTTGTTCTAAATGCGAGGCTCTGGCTTCCTTTATGGAATCCACCCATCCCGTACTGGTCTTCCTTTTCCTTCTGCATTCTACTTTCCCTAACATGATGGTCCTCTCCAGGGAGTCTTGCCTTCTCATAATGTGTCCAAAGTCAGAGAGCCTCGTCATTTTTGCTTCCTAGGTAAGTTCTACCTTGATTTGATCTATGGCCTACTTGTCTGCTTTTCTGTTGATCCAAGATATCCACCAGGCTTATTTATTTATTTATTTGGAGCTTTTGTATGCCGTCCCATTTGCATAAGCCTCGGGACGGCTTCCAACA